TCCACTGAGCTGAAGTTCCCGACCTTAAATCTTGGGCGCATATTACCTCAGTTTCAGTGGTCATTGTAGCTCTTGGCACTCAAGTACCTTGGAGGTAACTGTTGTCACTTGTGAAAAGAATGTCTTCAGGCAGGGCAAGTAGGACATCAGTCAGGTCAGCTCACAGGCTTGAAACTGAATCAACAATGTCCATATAATTATGTAGTGGCATTGAGGGGTCATCATCAGGCAGGAGAGTCGCTGGATTGAGGGCAGAGGTAGACAGGAATTCAATGCATTCTGTGTCTAGTAAAAGGGCTTGGTATTGGATAATGTAAGTGGTGGAAAGCCATCTATCAGGAGGTGACCACAATAGTATCTCCACAGAATGTGGGGCCACTACCTCTGGCCAAAAGTCAACCTAATGGCTTCCTTGGTCGCAGTGGCTGCAGTTGTCTGCAGACAATTTGGCCACCCTGTAGCTGTGGGGTCTAATCACCAGGAGAGGTAGGCCACAGGCCTCTTTTAGGGTCCTAAGTATTAGGTTAAGATCCTTTCTGCTATCCCATGACTCTCAGCCACATGTAATTGGAAAGATTTGGCTAAGTCAGGGAGAGCGAGGGCTGGAGTATTTACAAGAGCCTGTTTTAAATCATTGAAAGCTTGTTCCTCTAACTCAGTGCAGGTTAAAGGTCTGGATGGATCCCCTCCAGTAAAGGTGTAGAGTGGCTGGGCCATTTCAGCAAAACCCAGGATCCACAACCGGCAACAGCTCAAAGCACCTAGAAATTCTCTAACTTGATGTTTAGTCTTTGGGGAAGGGATTTTTAAGATAGCCTCAATCCTTTTGCTTGACAAAGTCCATTTTTTAAAAATATAAGTGACTTGGGCAGGCAGACTGGGTCTTTTTGGCAGAAACTTGATAGCCCAATTTGTCCAAGTCTCTCAGTAGGGCCTCTGTGGCTTCCAGACAAGAGGACAAATCTGTGGTGGCCAGCAGTAAGTCATCTACATATTGAATCACTGTGAGGGAGGGATGATCTACCCAACAGTCTTGAAGGTCCCCTCCTCAGGGCTTCATCAAATAGAGTTGGCACATTTTTGATACCTTGAAGAAACGTGTCCAGGTCAATTGCTCCAATTTTCCCATCTAGGATCTGTCTATTTAGAGGCAAAGAGGGGTTGACTGACTGGAGCCAGTGGTAGGGAGACAAAGGCATCCTTCTGGTCTGACCTTTGGGCTATCTCAATTAACTCTGAGAGTGCCTTACCTTGTGGGGCCCACTGGGAAACAAATGCAATATTTAGGGTGTGTCTATTCTCAGGTGCCTCTGGATCAAAAAGTGTATAGGAGGTCCTCCAAGAATGTAGCTGGAGCCTTGCCAGGTCCCCAACATACCTCTGTTTAGACAGATTAGTTGGCTTTCGAGTAGCTGCTTTTAAAAGCACCCAAATAAGTTTGGCGAAACCATAGGAGAGCCTCCTTATCTTGAATAGGGCGAGTGAGGGGCTTGGGGCAGAAGCCCAGAAAAGGGGCACTACAGCTGGCTGTAGTTGTGTCCATCAGGGAAGCCACACTGTTGCCCGTGCTCTTAGCCCAGGAGAGCTGGAAGCCACCATTGCCTCCGCTGCAAGGCATGGACTTTGGCTTTGCCTCTGGCTCCTCTCAGGTTGTTGCTGTCTGGTCACTTGTGTTGCTGTCTGTGGCAGAAGTCCCTGGGCAGGAAATCTTAAGGTGCTGTGCTCTGGCTGAATGCTCAGCTAGTAGGGAAATGGGAGGGTCTGTGCTATTCTCTGCACAGGAGCCAGGAGAAGTCTGGGCCTCAGGTTTCGGGGCACACAGCAGGTGCAGGGCCTGCAGGCGGATGAGCACCTCCTTTCTTGGGGGACCTACTGGGAGGGGTCTCCACAGCAGTGGCAGCAGTGGCAGCTGCAGCAGTAGCGCTGTTGTTTTTCAGAGTTGAAGTAGACCTACTAACACAAAGAGAGGTTAAAAGTCCCTTCTGGAGGCCAAGAGACTCCAAAAGCAGGTCATTTAAATTTATAAGAAAGTTTGGAGCTTTCCCTGCATAAAGAGGTTCACCATAGGAAGAGCTCTCCGAGGAAATTCCTGAAAATGGTTAAGAACACACTGCAAAGGCAACAAAAAGCAAAAGCAAACTGACACAATTACATGAATAACAGACAAATAACAAACATTAAATTGTTGACAAACATGATTAATAAAATTAACCCAGAACTAGTTCAACAAGTCAACAAGTTAACAAGTCCCAGGCAACATCCTGTCTGGGAACTGGTCTTGGAGACTATAACAGTTGCATCCAACATCTCCAAAGACCCCAAGGGGCACCCACAACAAAAAGTAGAACAATCTTACCGTTAAGGATCTGGACTGCTTTCTTCGAATTAGCATCCAGGAATTTTGGTTTCTCTTTGAAACAGAGATGTCCTGGGGAGGAGGGGTGGCGAGGAATGTCTCTCTGCAGTCCCCCTGAGGAACAATTGCCTCAAAGACAGGCTTGGATCCTACAATCCTGGATAAACCCCCAAATGAGATGGGTTCGTGAACAACAACATAGGAATCCAACCAGCCAAATTGATAAATTTGGAATTTATTAACTGAGCTCAGGACCACTCATATATGTTATAACGTGGGCCCCGGTATAAAGTCCACGGAAACAAGAGTCCAAAACTTAAGTGGCAAAGGCTTTATTGAGCCAGTCCTGGCGGCACAGTCTCTCCTGGATCAACCCAAAGACTGCGCGCCCAAGACTGGGGAAAGGGGTTTTTAAAAGTAAGGGAAAGTGGGGAGGAAACCTGTAAGGCCATTAAACCTGTTGACCCGCATCTGGAAACTGTATTGCTGTCCACTTAGCTCTGACCGTCCCGGGAGTTCCTGGTGTTGCTCAAATTACTCCCATCCTGCAGACTGACATTATCTCAGAGTGGCACGTCTGCAGCAATATTTGGAGAAGAAAGTGGAGAGTTAATTATCCCAGGACAGCTTGTCTTCGCCAGTGAGTGCAAAGGGGTCACGAGTTATGAGATGCTGGAACTTAAGTTTTACAAAGATCTGATATCTAACCCATTGATACATACAGAACAAAAGGAAAGCACCGATCGGGGTTTGGGCCACAGTATTTCCCGGTAATTTCTTTGAAGCTAAACAGTTCTTAAAATTGGGGCAGGCTCATTTTATGACAGATCATCACCAGGTCGAGGAGAGGTCACCAGAAACCCAAATTCTTTATGGCCCAGATAGGTGGGTGGGGGGAGGCAATAAGGCGCGCTACAGAACAGGAAAACGGCGAGTATCTATCTTGTGGGAAGAGTAACTAAGGTTAGGTAAAAAGGTTAAACTCATGGGCAAATCTCCCTGCATATAAACACACTACTTCAAACAATGTGTAAATTAGTGGGCCTTCTTGTCTTTTTTAGTTCTTTAGCGAAGACTAGAGGCGCCTACCCGTGATTAACAGCCCTTGTTAGCTTGTTTTAGCACCACTCTTCTTGTTTGTAGAGGGCCGCTCCGTGATTAACATCTCAATTAAGTGAAATTCTTGCAATTCTTTACAGGGGAGAGTATTGCTCAACATATCAATTGGGTCACTTAACATATCAGTTAAGAAAAGAAAACATTTAGTAAGCCGCGGTACAGGTTTGCTATAATACACAAAATGATGAAGCTACTTTCTTAGAGTACAACAATATACAGACCCCCCTGGTTCAGGGTCCAAACAAGAGGTACTGAACTGGAAAGTTACAGAGTTTTTAAAAGACAGAATCACAAAAGACATCCTGTTGGAAACAATTTAGCATGACTGTTTCACTAATTTTCAGTTGACACCTGTATCCTGCTTCTGTTGTTGAGCAGGTTAATTTTTCTCCTGTAGATACAGCTTATTTTGCTTTTCTCATGGAACTTATATCCTGAGTAATTTTCCATTTTTCTGAGTGAAATACAGGGCACTAGTTAAACGCAAGGCTCAAGATAGCGTCAGTTATGCCAAGCCACAACAGTCTCTGTTTCTTACTTTATCCTCTTAACGTAAACAGTCAGGGCTGTTGGCCGGGTCCCTGATACTAAAGTCCTTTATCATTTTCCCTCATTTTCCAAGTCATGCTTTTTCCTGGAAATTTTGGTTTTGGTTTCCCTTATCGCTAAATCAGGGTCCCAGGCTAGCTGGTGAGGTGCTGCTAGACTGAACTTGTAACCAGCCGCCCACGCTGTTTGGCTTTCTCAGGAAGTGTCTGAGATCATGGAGTTCTTTGAAGACTCCAGAGACCCATGCACGCGATTCAGGTCTCCAATCGCCAGCGCCCAGCTTCACTTTAGATTTTACTCTAAACTGTAAAGTCCAAGGCTGAGGAGGATGGTGCTCTCTCTCTATGAGTTCCAGGCCAAGCCTATTACCCTTCTTTTTGCAAAGGTCCCTGCAAACCAAAAAATGAAAATCAGCTCATGCAGGGCTCCTCTGCTAGGAGTGTTGCTGCCTGAGAGGCTCAGGACCCTTGAGGCGGGTGGGGGGAGGGGTGCAGGTGGGGGGAGGTGTATGTGTGTGTGTGTTCCTCCTCCAGAGACTGGGCTCCTGGCATTCAGGCTCTTTCTTATGCTACCCTTTCTCCAAATGAGCCATCCTTGCTCTGCTCAGCCTCCAGCCCCTCAGCCTGTCCTCTGACATCACTCTGCCCCTCCCTTGTGGTCAGAACAGCCAGTTCTGGGCCTGTCTGGGATTGGTCCAGCTTTAATCCTCTGGAGCCAGCATGAAGATGGATGGCCCTAACCCCTCTCGTTTCCCTCTCTTTCCCTCCCCAGCCTTCAGTGGGCTAATTAGAAAAGGATGGCTGTCAGTTTGCCCTGCAGGCAGAGGTAGAAATTGAGGGGCTGGAGAAAATCCACATTACAGCTCTCAAACCAACTTCTACAAACAGGATATTCCACTAGTTTCAGAAACTTTTTGTAGTGCTAAGAACTTCTTGAGCATTCAAAATCCACTTAGTTCCAACTGGCTGCTAGGATGATGACAGAAGCCGCCCCCAAACCCCACGCATTCCCTCCAGGGCAGCCAATCCCATCCCTTCTTTCACTTTGGACTTTGGAAACCTCCAGCTCTTGAGAGCTGCTCTCCATTCTGTGCACTGCTCCACACTAAGGCACTGCATACCCCAGGGGCCGGTCACCAGGATCCCGAGAGGCCAGGTAGGTGCTGCATGGGGCTAGCTGCCTGGATTGCCCTCAGCCTGCTCTGCTCCTGGCCACCGTATCCTCCAAGGGTAGCTCAGCCCCTAGGGCTCCATCAGCTACTGTGTGAGCCTGGCTGTGGCCTCTACTCTCCCAGCTCTTTCTCCTTGGATGTCCTAATTCAGTAGGTTTCCTTTTGTTCATTAGCTTTTTTTTTTTTTTTTTTTTTGAGCTAGGGTCTTGCTACATAGTTGAGGGTAGCCTTAAATCCTTGGCAATCCCGCCTTCCTCAGTCAGCCAAGTACTGGGATTACAGGAATGTGCCACCACACCCAGCTAGTCATTGGCACTTTGCTCACTTACATACAAGGCCGTGGCCCCCCTAAACATAGTTGCTTAGTTATTTGCCTACCCAGGTAAAATTTCACCCTGGCCCAAATGGGACGTTCTCATATGTGAACACTGAAAAAAGGGGCCAGTGTGGAAAGGACCCAGTGAGTGCTGGGTAGGAGGTGCAGCAGGAAGTATTAACATAAATTGGTTGTAAGCAGTTAGGGAGGTTAATTCACCCGAGTGTCTAAGGTGCTCACTGGCATCTCTTAAAGAGTTTCAAAAACCTGGCCTTTGGCTTCTACTACAGAAGGTGCTGTACTGGGTGATGGCCTCCGCTGTACACAGCCTGCAAATAAACCAGAGAACCTGGAGGCCAATCACAGCTACATCTCTTACTTGCTTGGTGAACTAAGCAAAGGGCTGAAACTCCCTGGCTTCAGTGTCCTGTCTGGAAGCAAAAATTCTTCCAGTAGTGGGGCAGTAACATTAAGAGAAGCCTGTGTCTCTGGCCCTTGAGGCAGCAGCATGCAGCTGGACCAGGACACCTCCTGCTCAAAAGTGACTTACGTGAAGGGCATCCCACTCCTCAAGCAATTTGCAGAAGCCATAGAGCCACTGCAGAGCTTCAAGGCCTGGCCCGATGACGTGCTCATCAGCACCTACCCCAAGTCTGGTAAGCAAGGAGGCACCCCTCTCCTGGGCTGCAGTCTCTGCTTGGCGAGCAGGACCTGTCTGTCAGTCCTGTTCACCTCTACTTGCTCTCTCTTCCCAGGCACCACTTGGGTGAGTGAGATGCTGGACATGATCTACCAGGGCGGTGACCTAGAGAAGTGTCACCGAGCCCCTACCTACGTGCGGGTGCCCTTCCTTGAGTTCAAGCACGAAGGGGTCCCTTCAGGTGTGTGGCAGGGCCTGGCTACAAGTAAAGCGGTGGTGGTGGCCGGGGGTCCTTGTTCCAGCTCAGCAGCTTTCCTTTGCCTGTGCCTTAGGGCTTGAGAATGTGAAACATGCCCCTGCCCCACGGCTGCTTAAGACACACTTGCCTGTGGCCCTGCTCCCCCAGACTCTGCTGGATCAGGTCAAGGTAAGTGCACTGCAGCGTCTCAGCTTTGATCATGTTCCACTTCGAGGGTTTCCTTGAGCCTTGGCTAACCTCCTACGGGGAGGGCACATGTCTGTTACTCTAGTGGGGTTCCCAGACCAGGAAAACAAGACTCTTCAGTGCAAACCAGAGAATGCAGTCCAGGCACTCACGAGCCTGCAGAGGACAAGGCTGGTGGGACCTCTCCTATCTTGTTCCAACTCTCAGTGTGATGGCATTGAAGAGAATCAGATCAGCACCAGATACTGCAAGCCTGTTTCCTCCTTTGCCACACTGAGAGATAACCTCCTCCAGGGTGGCTGGAGTGTGACAGGAGGCCAGATTGGAGAGCAAGTCTGCATCTGCATCTGCCCCTGCAGGTTGTCTACGTTGCTCGAAATGCAAAGGACGTGGCTGTGTCCTATTATAACTTCCACCAAATGGCCAAGGTGCACCCTGATCCAGGCACCTGGGACAACTTCCTGGAGAACTTTATGGATGGGAAAGGTGGGCCTCACTCTGTGGTAAAGAGGGACAAATGGTGCTGCGGGGCAGTCGGCTAAAAGTGAGAGTGCATTGTTGTCGTCCCCTTCCTCAGTGGCCTATGGGTCTTGGTACCAGCATGTGCAAGAGTGGTGGGAGCTGAGCCACACCCACCCCGTCCTCTACCTCTTCTATGAGGACATGAAGGAGGTGAGAGATCCCTGAAGCAGCCCCAGCAAACCAGGGTCCCGTCCTGCCCCCCACCCCAGACTCTGAGCAGTTCTTATCTCCAAGTACCTTCATGGGTGACCTATGCACTCACTGTTCAGCACTTTGTGGCTCTTGCCTCTCCCTGCCCCAGGATGAGTGTGCCAAGCTGTGGGTACAGTGACAGAAGTGACTTTCCCTGCTCTCCTCCAGAAGGAGCCAAACAGGGCTCACTCTGGGATCCCAGGGTAGAAGTGACTCTCTTTGGAGAAGAGGCCCATGGGGGAGCTGGGGCTGAGAGGCCTCTCTGTGGAAGTGACTCCTCCCCTGTGAAGTCACAGGGGGTGCTCCCTTTGTTTGCTTTATTAACAACTTGGAGAATGTGTCTGCTTCTTCAGAACCCCAAAAGGGAGCTTCAGAAGATCCTGGAGTTCCTGGGGCGCTCCCTGCCTGAGGAGACCATGGATCTCATCATCCAGCACACGTCCTTTGAGGAGATGGAGAAGAACCCCATGGCCAACTATACCACCATACCCCCTGATGTCATGGACCACACAGTGTCCCCCTTCATGAGGAGAGGTGGGTGCCTGGCCAGGGTGGGAGTCTGGGCAGGAGCGGGAGAAAGCAGCACTGGGGTCCAGCTGGGGCCACCTGTGAGTCCTCTGCACTCAGACTCAATCCTCTTTCCTTCTGCCCCAGGCATGGTGGGAGACTGGAAAAGCACCTTCACTGTGGCCCAGAGTGAGCGCTTTGATGCCCACTATGCTGAGAAGATGGCAGGCTGCAGCCTCCCCTTCCGCTGGCAGCTCTGAGAGCTGAAGGAGGGAACTGTTCCAGGGGGTGTCAGTAGGCCTGACCCTGGCCTCAGGAATAAAGTGCCATGTGCTCAGCCAGGCCCCTGTTGCAAGCAAGAGAGAACCTGAGCTAGAGAACAAGTCCCCAATACAACCCTTTTCCTACGCGGCCCGGTTGTGGGTCTGAGAAAGTGGAAATCTTGTGTTGCCTTTCCCATTGTATGAGCACTACCCCTTCACTTTCTCTTTACTCCTCTCTTGTCACCATGGGCCTTTGGGCTACACTGAAGGGAGAGGAGCAGCCATCAGCATCCGAGCTGTCTTCAGATAGGATGAAGTAGTCATCGGGGCACTGGTTAGGGGCTCAGGCTCTTGCTCAAGCTCTCAGACCCTGATTGGCAGTTGGTTTAAACACCCTATGGAGAAACAGAAAGCCATTGCAAGAGATGACCTGCTGCATCTAGCTTTTCCTTCGTACTCCATAATGTTCACACAATGACGAAATTGCCTAACAATATACCATGTGGGACTGAACCAGGGCGAAAACATGCTAGGTAAATGCTCTGTCAGTGTGCTAGATCCCAGGCCCTACCCTGGCTCTGATCTTTGCAGTCACCCTCCCCTCACCGGACATCAGGATGCATGCAGCTGTCCTGGCTCTGCTGCTTGTGGGCAAATGAACCAGCAGGCACTCATGCCCTGGTCATCTTGCAAACCACAGGGTCACAGGAGAAAAGGGATATGGGACCTCTGTGCCACAAAAGCTTAAAATGACTACAAGAGCTGGACCCTCGTTTACAGGAGAGAAAACTGAGGCACACTGCAGGAAACGGGTTGGTGAAAGAGGAGATGCTAAGTGATGGACAAGGTCACCTTCTTCTAATTTACAGCCTCCCTCTCACAGGTCCACAGGGCTGCTGTCTCTTGGGACCATTCCTGTAGGTTTCTCCTGGGCCTGGCCTCTGTGAGGGGACCCTGTGGACCAGGTCTGTCAGGCCTTATACAGATGGGATTGAGGTTGGTATTGATACCTAATTTATCCCTGTTGTAGGTAACAGGTTGGCAAGGAGTGGGAGTCTTGGTCATAGCAGGGCTTAGCTCATAACATGCAGGCACGGTGAGGAACCACATTTAGGCCTCTTCCTCTTCCCCTTCACCAATGTCACAGAAGAAAGCTGCCATATGGGGAACTGCATTGGAAAAACATATAGAGGTCCTTAACTGAACACTTACCTCTCACCCCCTATACAAGCTCTGGTCTCAACAGAAGTCACTTCTTGGCCAGCCTCAGGTGGCCACCTATTACATGGAGGAGGAATCTCATCACAGTTTAGGGAGTGAGTGGTGGACCTCACCAGAGTTCCCTGTCCTTAAAGAGGCAGTGCTCCTTTTCTGGGTGTCTCTGGCATGATGGGATCATGGTGCTTCTGGGTCATCAACAGTTTGCTCAATCAGTAGCTCTCCTGGATCAGTAGAAGTGTTAAGAGTTCAGCAAACAATTTCTGGAACCCAGAAGAGTTGGCCAGTGTGGGAAGCCACCTATGATGGCACCCATTTCCTGCTTCCGGGTTCTTCCCGGCCTGAACAAGCCCGCCAAATTGTCATATCTGCCCAGTTACCCGTGACGCTAGCCTATCAGCTTGTTAGGCGCGCTTCTCTGTGATTGGATACTGCTTCCCCTTATAAGAGGTTGTTCCTGCCCCCAACGGCGGAAGAGGAATCAACACCGAGGGTGGCGGACCTTGTCAGGTCCGGTTCGCTGTACGTAATAAAGTTTGAGAGCTGATCCTGCTCGAGTTTGGCCTCCTGTCTTCCGCGGCTCCGGTCATCTGGTGGCCCGTACAGGGAATAAAAGACTCAGCGACGTGCCTCTTCGGCCGGGAGGTGCGATTGCTGTCGCCTGCAGTACGACGGAGGACCTGGCCCAATAACAACGGAAGGCCGCGAGCGCCTCTTCTCTTCACCCTGATCAGCTACGTGAGATACAGCGGTTCCCGGGACAGGTGAGTACTGGGTCACCTGGGTTGGGTGGACGCACCTAACAGATTTTGAGCGCCACACGAGTGGACGCCGGTTTTTTTTTTCTTTTCTTTTCCCTTTGCATCTGTTTTGCTTTCGCTTCGCTAATACAGCCCGACAGGCTTTTGATAGAGCTCGATTGGAATGCTCAGAGGAGCCCGGAGCCACTGCCGATTGTGGGTCTCCGGAGGACCCTCAGGGCTCTAATTCTGATTCGGATTTGAAAGGCTCAGAAGAGGAGGTCGTCTTTGCTAAGCATGACCCTCCTACACTGTTAAAAGAGGAACTTAGGGCTCGGGAAGATAAAAAGGGGAACCAAACACCACCGTGCCCAAGCTACTCCGCCTTACGGGAGGAGCTTAAGCCCTTCCGCCCTTTGGCAAGTTCGCGACCCACGATCACCCCCTTCAGGGCGCCAGGCCCCACTAAGCCCTTCCGCCCTTTGGCAAGTTCGCGAATTCAGGGCTCGGGAAGATAGCACCGCCGTGGCCGGAAGAGGAGTTGCTCCCTGGGCTGCCACCACAACCTATGGCACCGCCCTGGTTAGAGGGAGAGCTACTTCCTGGGTTGCCTTCTGCGCCCCCATCTGGGGAGGGAGGAGGACGTTCCTTCCACCAGAGGGTATGGTCGCGGCTTCCCTTTGAGTGTTCCGGTCTCCATGCATTCCCGGTACAAGTAGGAGGCAGGAGAGGAGGAGGATATTATGAGCCCTTAGAAATTACACCCTGTGATTTTTCCCAAGGTTACATCCGCATACCCCATAACTGGAGCTCCAATAATCTTCACGGATGGCTCCAAATCAGGCATAGGCACATATGTGGTTATGGGTCAAGAGCCAAAAACTATCCAATTCACTCCAGACCAACCCCAGGTGGTCGAGCTCCAGATAATACAGAAAGTCTTACGTCGCTTTCCAGGCGATGTTAACCTCCTGTCGGACTCCAAGTATGTGGTAAATGCTCTCCAAGTTCTGGAGACGGCGGGTCCCATTAAACCCTCTTCAACGGTTGCCTCCATATTCCTAGGTATTCAACATCAGTTATAGAATAGAACCTCAAAAGTGTTCATCTCACATATCAGAGCCCATACTAATTTACCTGGGCCCTTGGCTGAGGGCAATGCCTTGGCAGACTCGGCCACGCGCCCGATATGGGTCTTCACCTTTCCCAACCCTCTGGAAGCAGCCCAAAAATTCCATTCTCAGTTCCATGTCAATGCCCGCACCCTCATGGCGCGCTTCAACATCACGAGAGCACAAGCACGAGAGATTATACGGTATTGCCCAGCTTGTGTGATCTCTTCACCCCAACAATCTATTGGCATTAACCCAAGAGGACTTCGCCCAAATCATATTTGGCAAATGGATGTTACACACATCCCAGAATTCAAAAAACTTAAATATGTTCATGTTTCGGTAGATACCGCCTCCCAGGTTATGTTTGCCTCGACAAAACCCGGAAAAAGGGCCACCCACGCTATTAATCATTGTCTTGCAGCCTGGGCTGCTTGGGGAAAGCCCAATATATTAAAAACAGACAATGGTCCTGCTTACACCAGCAAAACTTTTGTAACATTCTGTCAACAAATGGATGTTGTCCTTAAGCATGGCATTCCATATAACCCTCAAGGACAAGGCATCATTAAACGGGCACATCGGACACTCAAGGGTGTCTTACAAAAGCAAAAAGAGGGGATAGGCCACGGCCTAACGCCCAAAGAAAGAATATCATTGGCACTCTTTACCATAAATTTTTTAAACCTTAATCATAATAATCATTCCCCTGCCATGGAGCACAATAACCCGTCCCCGGCCGACAAAGGGCTGGTGAGATAGAAAGATGTCCTTACAGGACAATGGATGGGCCCAGATCCAGTGGTTAGCTGGACCCGAGGTGCGGTTTGTGTTTTCCCACAGGAACCAGGTCGCAAACCGCTGTGGGTCCCGGAAAGATTGACGCGAGCAGTAAACTCCCCACCAGTTCCTGATAAAGCACAGGAGGATAAGCCCGCGGACACAAGTCAACTCGACCCTTCTGGGACCGACGCTCAGCGCCCTAGACCATCTACAAACTAAAATGTCTGGTTTGGAGCTTTTTCTATTCTGTGGGTTCCTATTAATCACCCCTGTTCACACAAATTTGACCAACACTGTTAAAAATATGACAGCTTGGCTGCAAGACACCTACCTACCTAAGTTTCACAATTTGTCCCTCATATCTCCTGGCCCAACCTGACTACTTGGATCCTGATTGCCGTGGCCTTCCTAGTGGGGCTTGTGGTTATCGCCTCATACAAACTCAGCAGCAGGTTAAGATCACAGCTATGGCAGCCATACAAATGGCAGCAGGTGGCCCATCAGGCCAGCAGGCCGCCGCATATCTCCTTCACATTGCAAAACATCAGCTATAAGAGCTGAGTGGGCAAGCCAATGACGGGTAAGACGGGAAAAGCCCTCCCGGTCAACCTAAGACAGGCTCCACTCAGATATACATGGCCTATAAGGCCAGGGGTCCCTCCTGGAGCCAAATTATTGGCATTGAGATGCAAGACCAAGGGTACTGCAGTGCCATCCGCCCCAAAGGTTGGGGGAAAGGCAGAAATAAATGTCTATATACATCCAGGTTCGGTTCACAAAAGCCTGGCCCTGCGAAAAAATGAACCACTCACCTTGAGCATGGTCCTGGCGCAAGGATATGCACAAAACAGGGTGATGCACAGCAGGGTATAGACCTCTACATTCTCTCATGCCTCGGCCTACAAGGTAGGCCCACTCCTAGGTGTCTAACAGCAACAAGGTCATAGACACCTTGGAGGGACCCACAGACCATCCTATTTTAATAAATAAAAAAGGGGGAGATGTGGGAAGCCGCCTATGATGGCACCCATTTCCTGCTTCCGGGTTCTTCCCGGCCTGAACAAGCCCGCCAAATTGTCATATCTGCCCAGTTACCCGTGACGCTAGCCTATCAGCTTGTTAGGCGCGCTTCTCTGTGACTGGATACTGCTTCCCCTTATAAGAGGTTGTTCCTGCCCCCAACGGCGGAAGAGGAATCAACACCGAGGGTGGCGGACCTTGTCAGGTCCGGTTCGCTGTACGTAATAAAGTTTGAGAGCTGATCCTGCTCGAGTTTGGCCTCCTGTCTTCCGCGGCTCCGGTCAGGCCAGTTCCCACTATGATCCAGCTTGACTACCTTAGTGTGTGTCTGATCAGAGCACAGAGGTGGTATGTGTGTGTGCGTGTGAGGGGGGTGGATTGTAGAGGGAATTTGGGCTGACAATCCAGTTTTTTTTTTTTAAATCGGTATTGGGGATCGGACTCACGACCAACTGCTTGCAAAGCAGGTGCTTATGCCGCTGAGCTACATCCCCAGCCCCTGACAATCCAGTTTCAAGGAGGCAGAGAAAGAGTTTCTGTGGTGGCAGAATCATCATCTTTCTCACTCTCAGCTGGCCATGTTGTAATCTCCAGTCCCACTGCCATCATGCTATATACCTGTATTCACTGGTAACAGGGATTTAGACACCGGGCTTGTAGATTGCAGTCATCCTGTTGTTGAAGGATGAAACTTGGCACGTCTACCTTCATTTCTCATTATGTTAAAATTTTGGGTCAGATCCCTGCTCAACTCTGCACAAAGGTATGAACCATTTAAGGAGTCCCTGTAATATAAACTTTATTAGCCCTAAGTTTACCTATCCTATCTTCCTTTGAGACTAAGCACACCAACTGCCTGATGGTGGCACAAACCTGTAATCCAAACACTTGGGGACCCTGGGGCAGGAGGACCATAAGTTTGAGCCCAGCCTGGAAAACGTAGCAATTAATACTATCTCAAAATAATAATAATTATTGTTATTTCAGGATTTACAGGGACATCCAACTGTCAAATTTACATGGCTCAGTCCCAGATCCCTTAGAGCAATGCCTAGAAGTCTTTGGTCACTGTCCAAATCAAAAAGTAAATCAAAGAAAAGTAGAGCATTTTAGACCACCCCGTGATGTTACCCCCTTAGTGTCGTTAATGACCCCATATTAGGAACTCAGCTACCAGTCCCAAGGTGGAGTCACTGTCTCACCAAGGGAACTACACAATCTACTCAAATTAAGATGCCTGTCTTTGAACTTTCGAGAGCCAGTCCTGATATACTGATCACCAAGAAGATAACTTGATCAGGATTATCTTTCAGCTAGCAAATCCTTGATCTGTGTAAACCCCTAGCTCATCATTGTTCCCTTTTTATAAAGCCCTAAATGTTACACCAAGACAGATCTTCCCACTTTCTTTCTTTTTTTCTTTTTCTTTTTGAGACAGGGTGTTGTGTGGTTTAGGCTGGCCTTGAACTTGCAACAATTCTCTTGCCCCAGCCTCCACACTACTATTTTTTTTCTTTCTTGAGACAGGGTCTTTTATGTAGTTCAGGCTGGCCTTGAACTTACTTATGTAACACATACTGGCCTCACACCTGCAGCAATCCTTCCTTAGCCTCCCGAGTATTGGTATTACAGGTGTGTGCCACCATGCCCAGCATATTTTTGAGAGTCCTTTTAGGATAAATTGAGTTTCATCACAGCCCGGCAGGAACTGGGCTCAGTGAGGTCAAAGCCCACAATAAAAGAGTCACAATACTTCACTAGCAACTGCTTCCGCTAGGGCATTTACTTCCGCCCTTAAGAGGGCGTCCATGATGATGCCCCTCCGCCCTCATTCCAGTAGGAGTCTCTCAAAAGCCACTGTTTCTGTGTTTAGCCGTATTAGCCAACCAGAGTCAGCGGGAGGACCGAGTCTGAGAGAGTGGATGCTAATTGGTTGGGGCTCCCAGCCTGCCCGTTGGCAGGAGTTTGGCGGCCGGGTTTAGACACCTCCAGGTGAGGGTGTACGAACGTGCATTCCTGAGGTTCTTTTAGACAGCCTCGCGATCGTCCCTGAGCAATTTTCCCGAAACAAACATCTCCTGCCCTAGCAACTCAGTGATCCCTGGGATCTCAGGTCGCGGAAATCAACCTCCAGCTCTGGGTCTGTAACCTGTAAAGTCGGGATGGGCCCCGCAGAGGGGGCAGCGAGGCCGGGGCGCTTCTTTGGCGTCTACCTGCTCTACTGCCTGAACCCTCGGAATCGGGGCCGTGTGTACGTGGGGTTCACGGTCAACCCTGCTCGTAGGGTGCAGCAGCACAACGGAGGCCGCAAAAAAGGCGGGGCCTGGCGGACAAGTGGGAGAGGGCCCTGGTAAGATGAGGAGGCGCTCGGTGCCTGGGGAGTCTGCGGGGTGGAGGCGAATCCCACTGGGCGGGATCAGACTCTCACGGAAGGGCCAGGATTGTGGCAGAGAGCCGTGCCATTAATGGAGGGGCGGGGCCTGTCCCGAGGGCGGGGCGCAGTGGGGAGAAGGCGGATCCAGACGCTAGGGGCGGAACCAGGCCAGTGCTAGTGGGTGGGACCAGTCGGGTGGGTGGGGCACGAAGGGGAGGGGCGCTGTGCCCCTGTGGGGTGGGCAATGGCTGGTGAGGGTCTGATGAGCAAGACTGAGGTCCAGCGAGTGGGGGCTTAAAGTCAGGCTGGGGATGGGCTAGAACATGGAAGGGAGAGGCCCCCAGGATTGCAATGGCCCTGTGACCCCAGGCGGGGCCTGAGGTGGCAGGTGCGAGGGGATGGACCTGCCTGTGCCTGAAGGCAGCGAGGACTGGGCTCTGCGTGAGGGGAGCCGCTGGTGCGCGCGGTGGGGCTCACATGCCAGGCCCCGTTGTGGTCGCAGGGAAATGGTGCTCGTCGTGCATGGGTTCCCGTCTGCCGTTGCGGCGCTCCGGGTAAGACTGGCAGCGGGCGGGGTTTAAGGGTGGCAGCGGGCTGGGGCCGAGTACCCAGGCAGCTCCCAACTTCTGCATTCACCCGCCCGCAGTTCGAGTGGGCCTGGCAGCACCCAAGCGCCTCGCGTCGCCTGGTGCACGTGGGGCGGCGCGTGCGCAGCGAGACCTCCTTCGCCTTCCACCTGCGCGTGCTAGCGGCCATGCTGCGCTCGCCGCCCTGGGTACGGCTGCCGCTCACCCTGCGGTGGCTGTGCCCGGACTTCTGCCGTGACCTCTGCCCGCCACCACCTCCGCATGTGCCGCTGGCCTTTGGGCCACCTCCCATACCCCAGGCCTTGAAGGACTGCACGCAGGCGAGAGACCAGGGCGCGGGTGACCAGTGCACTCTGTGCGCCTGCGCACTACAAGTGAGCTCTCCCTTGGGATCTGAGGCCAGGGGTTCTGAGGGCTGTGGATGGGGCTGCTTGTTGAGGGGCCACCCTGGCACATCAGTCTTGTGTAGTACTTGGGGCCATTCCTGGACACATAATTAGCAATCGGTAGCATCTGCCCTTTCCTGTGAACTTAAGTAGATTCTGGGAGATAAGAACAGGCCACCCTCTCAGGAGGTCTTCCCTGGCACTCTAAAACTGAGTCTTTGTTGTGCACTTGCCTGCCCTTTTCTCCCTGAACTCTGTCTAACTTAGCATAACTGTAGCAAGTTTTATCATCAGGCTTCCCACCCTTCTCCCTAAATCCAGGAAGGCGTTCTTATGCTCCTGTCAATGTAAGTAAATGACTCCCTGTATCCCTTCCCTGCCTGCCATCTCCAACAGGATGAAGAGGGCCCTCTGCGTTGTCCCCATCCCAGCTGTTCCCTGCAGGCCCATGTGATCTGCCTGGCAGAGGAGTTCCTCCAGGCAGAGCCAGGGCAGCTTGTGCCCCTAGAAGGCCAGTGTCCTAGGTGAGTCTGGTCTCCTCCCCAAGCCAGGTCTAGTCCAGGGTGAGGGTGCCCAGTGGACCAGGCCAGGCCAGCTGAGTCTTTATCTTGGCACCTGGATCCCAGGCTGGTAGGGGCTTGTGATGTGTGACTCTGTATCATCTCATCCAACTACACCCTTGGTAGGTGTAAGAATTCGCTGTTGTGGGGAGACTTGATCTCACTATGTCGGATGGGATCCGAGAAAGACAATGATGACTCAGATTTAGAAGAGGTGAGATGACCCTAACCTCAGCTTGGATACCCACTCCATCCTATGCTGCCACTGATCAACTCACTTGTCTCCACAGGGACACTGGACAGACCTGCTGGAGACCTGATCCTTACTGTCCCCAACTCTACCCACTATTTCTTTTGTATTCCCCTTTCTCCTCTGCTCTTCCCAGGTTTTGAGTAAATTTTAAAAAATCTGAGTAAGAAAAAAATAAATCTGGATAAGAATACTTTGTACAGCGCCTGCCTGGCAAGCACAAGTTCTGAGTTTAATTCCTGGTACCAAAACAACAAATTTGTGCTGTTTGTGATAGTCCTTGATGGGTGCAACAGAGGAGGGAGTGGAGGATGTTTCCCCAACCATAGCACCAGCCTCTCTCCCGCCTGGAAAACCTCTGCTTCCATTTCCCCATAGTACCTCAGGTCACATGATTCTAGGAGGGCTCCAGAGAAGAGCACCTGTGATTCAAATCTCCCACCTCCAGTGCCAAGGTTCAGTTTAGATTTTAATCCAGACTATATTTAAAGACAGAGGCTGAGGGGGGAGGGAAGCAATCCCTTTATGGATCCTGTGGCTGTCCCCACTCCAAAGTCTACCCTCCTCTTATACAAAGTTCCTTGCAATCTTATAGAAACAGAAGTACTTTAGGTGCTGTTTTTCATACAATTATGAGTGATGCCTCTGAGTCCCTTGGCTACTGTAGGTAAGGGGCTACCTTCTATGGACATTGGACTTCAGTGCCTGTTGTAGATTAAAAACTGGTGGTCAACTTAAACATCAGCTGTACTCAATCAAAGTGGTCCTCCTGAAGATTTTTGCCAGTATAAAAAGGAGACTCGGAGAGGAAGAGTGGCATTGTTCCCCAACAACAGGGTTTCCCTGTTGTTGTTTGGAGCCCTTGGTTCTCCTGGAAGAGCTTGTCATCCTAGCTCCCCTGATAGGAACTTGGCTATTATCATCGGAGGAGCCCTGGACTTGTGGCTGAGAATGGCTGAAGTTCACTTTGGGGGAGCTCTGGTCCTTGCATTGAGCATTGCTTCCTGGCTCCCAAGGTGAAGATGTGTGCTGTTGCATTTCCAGGAGAAGCTTGTCATGCTGGCTTTATTATCGTCAGAGGAGCTTGAGACCTTACTGTCACTGAAGATGGCTGTGGTACTTTCCAAGGGAACCCTGGCCCTTGAGTGTTAATTGTTGTCTCCAGTGTAGAACCCCCAACCACTGGCACAGATGCTTCCACTGCTGACCTTTTGGCCTTCCCAGCACAGATGCATAACCCAGGCTTGCAGAAGTCATTGTCGTGGGCTCTAGGCCTTCAGTTGGACTTATGGGAGGCATTGTCATTGGCTCTAGGTCAACTGGACTTGTACAGGACATTGCTGTGCGGCTTAGGCCCTTGGCTGGGTTTTCTAATCTTTAGTTTATGGACAGATTTCCTGCACTTTCTTGTATTTAACTCTGGGTGACCATTATAAATAATACTATTTAAATAATTCTGTGTCCTGTATGTGATTTTTCTCACAACTCCTGACTACAGCAGTGCCCTAGTTCTTTCCTATCCTATACTGCCTTGGAAAAGCTCTGTTTGCTCTCCTCTGGCCCTAATTGCTTAACACCACCCAATCACATCACATCACTCCAGACTGGTCCTGTCAGAGCCGGAAGTTCCTTAAATCACTTGTGAGCTGCTCCACCTTGAAGAACCCTTGGTGTCTTGAAGACTTCCCTGGAACTACCAGGAAGGTGAGTGGCTCTGACCTCTAACTTTCCCTGTCTATCTCCTACCTTGAATGTGTCAATGAAAAAAGCATTCTGCTGACCTGCCATGCACATGTGGAGATTTGGTAATGGTGTATACTGGGGTCCAGGCCCAGTACCACTGATTTCCTGCTGAGAGGTATGACAAAAGAATAAAACAGACAAAATGTCTGTTTATTTACAGGCAGCAGCATCGCAATGATCACAGTCCAATGATACATGACGTACAGTGCCTTTGGTTCTTACTAGGTGCACAGCTTGATTGGCGGGGGTGGGTTGTGGGGAGGAAGCAGGGGTGGTGAACTGACACAGCTGGGTTCAAGAATTGAGGAATGGGGCTGGGGGTTTAGCTCAGCGGCATAAGCGCCTGCCTTGAAAGCAGGCAGTCGTGAGTTCGATCCCCGGTACCGATAAAAAGGAAAAAGACAAAAAAAAAAAAAGCACTGAAGAATTGAGGAATGACATTTTTGGGAAGTCACACAGGAACAGATCATAGTTAACTGGTAGCCTGATTATCTGCTAACTGGATTACTGAGCTAGATGGAATTTATGGGACTCAAGTCCTCAGCTGCCATGTTATCTTGGCTTTGAGGTGCCAGAACTTGGGCTGTTTGCTGGCCTCTGCTCTGTCTATTGGCTTAAAGACTGATCTGTCCCTAAGCCATTGTGGGCCTCGCCATAAGCCATGTAGGCTAGGACAGACTCAATTTATTTTTATGCCGATTTATTAATATTAGTTATTGCCTCCTTATACCTCATCAAGCTGGTCCTCACCAGAGGTGGTAGATCTGGTCAGTTGTCAGAGTGCAGCTTAAAAAGAAATTGAAACAAGGCCAGGGATTTAGCTCAGCAGGAATAAGTGCCTGCCAGACAAGTATAAGGTCAGGAGTTGATCCCTGGTACAAAAAAAAGAAAGAAAAACAATTCAACCTTGGCCACTTTCCCCTATTTTCAGAACTTCTGTTTTCTACATACTAAACTCGGTATGGAGGAGAGCCTGGTAGGTGTGGGCTGGTAGCCACAGCAAAGTAACTAAAATAAACAAGGCAGGCTGGCAAGTATTACAAAGGGCAGAGACCAGAAGAGAGTTTGCAGTGCAAATTATCACAGCTTTAAAAACCTGGACTTTAGGGCTGGAGATTTAGCTCAGTGGCATAAGCACCTGCCTGGCAAGCGTATGGTGGCGAGTTGGATCCCTGGTACCACAAAAAAATGCAACAAGACAAAAACCCCAAGAACTTTGGCTTCTACCAGAGTGCGCTCTAATTGGTTAGAATTTGGATTAGATTAATAGGAATTCCTTCTGGGCATGAGGCAGTGATATTTATTTTTATGCTGATTTACTAATATTGTTATTGCCTCCTTATACCTCATCAAGCTGGTCCTCACCAGAGGTGGTAGATCTGGTCAGTTGTCAGACTGCAGCTTAAAAAGAAACTGAAACAATCCTGACTGGCGCAGCTCCAATGAAACAGGAGACAGGAGACGCTTTTGTGGACGACAGTTAACTGCTGCTTTATTTACGTGGGCTCTGGTTTATATATTTGGCCGTGACCAATAACAGGCTGCCACAAGGAAGCAGGGCGGGAATGGGATGCAGGCTCTGGCTACTATATCCAGCTGTGGCCAATCAGGAGTTGCCACAGAGTACGGAGTAGAGCGCGGGGTGCGCACAGGTTGGCTAATTTAAAGAGGGACGTAGCGCATTGCGGAAGCTGGCGTGGTCCTTAGTCCCAGCTGGGGTATGGTATGTTGAGCGCCTGCGCCCAACACAATCCAACCCTGGCCACTTTCTCCAAGTTTCAGAACTTTTGTTTTCTATATACTAAACCCATGTTTTGTTTTCAGACCCTCTGCTTTTATTCCACCTAGGTGCCAAAGAAAGTAGAAGAGATTTCCCCACACTAAGCCCCACCCTATCTTTTCAGGAGGACAGCCATTCCCAGCACTAGTTCCATATCCCTCCAAATTTGGACCTGTAAAACCTCCAGCTCAGAGAGCCACCTACACTCTGCACGCACTAAGACACTGCACACCCATGGAGCTCCAATGCCAGGATCCTGAGAGGCCAGGAGTGGGCTGCATGGCGCTGGCTGTCCAGACGGCCCTTGCTAGCCCTGCTCTTGGCCACATGCTTGGAGGGCACCCCAACTCCTAGGGCTCCATCAGCTCCTGTGTGAAACCTGCCTGTGGAATCCATCCTCCCCTTCTCTTTCCCCATGATGTCCCCATCTCAGGACAACATCAGCTTAGCTTGCATCCCCTTTCCCTTTATCTGAGTTATCAGTGTTTTTCTTCTCAGCATAACAAAACTCTCCTCAAACAAGTACATAGTTTCTCAATTCTTCGTGTTTGTCGTGGAGCCCAAGTTGTTTGGCTGGGCAAACAGATTTCCTGGCTTGCTGGCCAGAGAAGTTTCCCTGTGAGAAGACCCAGAGATCTCTTGAAGCAGGAATTCTGACCTTTCTTTGATACTGAAGATCTGACTGGTCCCTGGCACAATATATATTACTAATCTGACCCCCTTTGGTATGGAGAAGAGCCTGGTAGGTGTGGGCTGGGAGCCACAGCAAACATAACTAAAATAAACAAGGCAGGGTGGCAAGTATTACAAAGGGCAGAGACCAGAAGAGAGTTTGCAGTGCAAATTATCCCCTAAAGAGCTTTAAAAACCTGGACTTTGGCTTCTACCAGTGTGCTTCCTCTAACTGGTGAGGATTAGAATAGAAATTCCTCCTGGTGGTACAGCAGTAACATTAAGAGAAGCCTGTGTCTCTGGCCCTTGAGGCAGCAGCATGCAGCTGGACCAGGACATCTCCTGCTCAAAAGTGACTTACGTGAAGGGCATCCCACTCCTCAAGCAATTTGCAGAAGCCATAGAGCCACTGCAGAGCTTCAAGGCCTGGCCCGATGACGTGCTCATCAGCACCTACCCCAAGTCTGGTAAGCAAGGAGGCACCCCTCTCCTGGGCTGCAGTCTCTGCTTGGCGAGCAGGACCTGTCTGTCAGTCCTGTTCACCTCTACTTGCTCTCTCTTCCCAGGCACCACTTGGGTGAGTGAGATGCTGGACATGATCTACCAGGGCGGTGACCTAGAGAAGTGTCACCGAGCCCCTACCTACGTGCGGGTGCCCTTCCTTGAGTTCAAGCACGAAGGGGTCCCTTCAGGTGTGTGGCAGGGCCTGGCTACAAGTAAAGCGGTGGTGGTGGCCGGGGGTCCTTGTTCCAGCTCAGCAGCTTTCCTTTGCCTGTGCCTTAGGGCTTGAGAATGTGAAACATGCCCCTGCCCCACGGCTGCTTAAGACACACTTGCCTGTGGCCCTGCTCCCCCAGACTCTGCTGGATCAGGTCAAGGTAAGTGCACTGCAGCGTCTCAGCTTTGATCATGTTCCACTTCGAGGGTTTCCTTGAGCCTTGGCTAACCTCCTACGGGGAGGGCACATGTCTGTTACTCTAGTGGGGTTCCCAGACCAGGAAAACAAGACTCTTCAGTGCAAACCAGAGAATGCAGTCCAGGCACTCACGAGCCTGCAGAGGACAAGGCTGGTGGGACCTCTCCTATCTTGTTCCAACTCTCAGTGTGATGGCATTGAAGAGAATCAGATCAGCACCAGATACTGCAAGCCTGTTTCCTCCTTTGCCACACTGAGAGATAACCTCCTCCAGGGTGGCTGGAGTGTGACAGGAGGCCAGATTGGAGAGCAAGTCTGCATCTGCATCTGCCCCTGCAGGTTGTCTACGTTGCTCGAAATGCAAAGGACGTGGCTGTGTCCTATTATAACTTCCACCAAATGGCCAAGGTGCACCCTGATCCAGGCACCTGGGACAACTTCCTGGAGAACTTTATGGATGGGAAAGGTGGGCCTCACTCTGTGGTAAAGAGGGACAAATGGTGCTGCGGGGCAGTCGGCTAAAAGTGAGAGTGCATTGTTGTCGTCCCCTTCCTCAGTGGCCTATGGGTCTTGGTACCAGCATGTGCAAGAGTGGTGGGAGCTGAGCCACACCCACCCCGTCCTCTACCTCTTCTATGAGGACATGAAGGAGGTGAGAGATCCCTGAAGCAGCCCCAGCAAACCAGGGTCCCGTCCTGCCCCCCACCCCAGACTCTGAGCAGTTCTTATCTCCAAGTACCTTCATGGGTGACCTATGCACTCACTGTTCAGCACTTTGTGGCTCTTGCCTCTCCCTGCCCCAGGATGAGTGTGCCAAGCTGTGGGTACAGTGACAGAAGTGACTTTCCCTGCTCTCCTCCAGAAGGAGCCAAACAGGGCTCACTCTGGGATCCCAGGGTAGAAGTGACTCTCTTTGGAGAAGAGGCCCATGGGGGAGCTGGGGCTGAGAGGCCTCTCTGTGGAAGTGACTCCTCCCCTGTGAAGTCACAGGGGGTGCTCCCTTTGTTTGCTTTATTAACAACTTGGAGAATGTGTCTGCTTCTTCAGAACCCCAAAAGGGAGCTTCAGAAGATCCTGGAGTTCCTGGGGCGCTCCCTGCCTGAGGAGACCATGGATCTCATCATCCAGCACACGTCCTTTGAGGAGATGGAGAAGAACCCCATGGCCAACTATACCACCATACCCCCTGATGTCATGGACCACACAGTGTCCCCCTTCATGAGGAGAGGTGGGTGCCTGGCCAGGGTGGGAGTCTGGGCAGGAGCGGGAGAAAGCAGCACTGGGGTCCAGCTGGGGCCACCTGTGAGTCCTCTGCACTCAGACTCAATCCTCTTTCCTTCTGCCCCAGGCATGGTGGGAGACTGGAAAAGCACCTTCACTGTGGCCCAGAGTGAGCGCTTTGATGCCCACTATGCTGAGAAGATGGCAGGCTGCAGCCTCCCCTTCCGCTGGCAGCTCTGAGAGCTGAAGGAGGGAACTGTTCCAGGGGGTGTCAGTAGGCCTGACCCTGGCCTCAGGAATAAAGTGCCATGTGCTCAGCCAGGCCCCTGTTGCAAGCAAGAGAGAACCTGAGCTAGAGAACAAGTCCCGTAGGCACCATACACAAGCCTTCCCCTATGCTGCTGCCAATGCGCCGCCTGTCTTTTTCTGATGGGGGAACCTCTGGTGGGAGTGAGCCCCAGGAGACATGGGTGAAAGGAATGAGTATTTATTTGTTCACAGAAAATCCTTTGTTGGCTTCTTCCAGGAAGACTTAGGGCAGCAGCTGACTGTGTCTGCCAGCCTTCTTCACTTTTTCTTAGGCTCCTTACAAGCCACCACGTACCTCTGGGCCACATTGAGAGGAGGGGAGTAGCCATCTGCATAGGAGGTGTCTTCAAAGAGGACGGAGTAATCATCTTGGGGCTGGAAGATGAGACAGGACAGGCTGGTCTGAGGCTTCCAGGCTTGGACTGCCTCCAAGGCCCAAGCTCTAAACTAGAAGACCCATAGGGTGTTTGCTCCCACCTTATCCTGTCCTGGAGTTATGAAGCTTAAATGCTTATCACATTTCTGTGCGTGAAGGCAAGGGATAATGAATAAGGAGAAGGAGACCCCTTTTACCAGATTTGGGCCACACCTGCACGGGATCTACTGCATTTTAGGAACTCTTTGTTAAAGGGATAAAGGACACGCCAGAAGACCAGAGCCTTGGAAGAAAACAGAAAATAGCCTCCAGGCTGCACCCAGTAACACAGGCCCAATGTCAGTGGCAGGACAGAGCCTTGGGAAAGCAGGAGGCTACAGATCTAGACAGGTGCATTCATTTCAGGCTCAGGCTCCTCCAACTGCCAAAATGAAGTTTGACAGGAGGCACAGTTGGCCTCCCAATCAGGGCTGGAAGGAAGGGGCTTACAGGACAGACATGGATAACCAGGAGGGAGACCCACAGCCATGGAAGAAGAGAAGCAGAGAGGGACTCAGGAAGACAACACACTGAGGTCCCCAAAGGCCTCTCTAACCAGATGCCTTACCCTCTGTGGAGGTGTGTGGATCAGGGCCCGGTAGAAGCAGGTGGTCTGTGGATACAGGGCCAGCACAAGCTGCTCCTTCTGAAACAAGGCCTCGGGGTCTGTCTCAGGGTTGGCCTTCCACTGGGGCAGTGGGATGATCCGCCGGCGGCTGAGGGTGTGTCTCCTGGGTCGGGGAGGTCGGAGGTTGTCAGTCCATGGCTGGGGAGACAGCTCCCGAAAAGCCCAGCTGCCCACCTGCCTTAGGGACACTCACTCTTTGCCTTCTTCATCAATGTCATCTACTTCATACCTGTGGATGAGCAGAAGGAAATCAGAAGATGCCATTAGATTACAGGCTGGTCAGGGAGTAAGGAGGGAATAGGGAGGGAATGGCCAGGGATTGGGCTATGTCACAGGCCACCACACATGGCATACTCCAGGGAGGCTGTTCTGTTAGGACTGGTAGAAAAATGGCAGTGAAGGTATAGCAAGGACAGTATAGCTGGTGGCTGGGTTGGGGCAGTGTCTACTCACTTGTTGGTGGTATGGCTGTAACTGACCACCTCAGCCAGGATCCACTGCTCATCCCCATCCATAGCCTTCACCCGTGCAGCAACCTTGTCTCCAGGTTTGGCCACGTAGTCCCCTGACGCTGGAATGGCCCCACAGAGAGGTGGGGGCCTGGGAGTAGAAGAAGGGTCAGTCTGGCCCCTCAATACCAGCCCCTCCCTTGCCAGCCCTGCCTCACTTGTCACCAGGCTTTCCGATCCACAGAGGCAGGGTCATGGCTGACTGCTGCAGCAGAGTCATCAGTACCCCTCTCCGCATGGTCTTCCGTGGGGGTTCTGAGTCATTGTAGAGGCCTGCGATCTTGGCCGCTGTGGGGAGGAAGTGAGCCTCTAAGGCAACAGGATCTGCCCAGGCCCATCCAGTACCCTGTGCGTGTTGTAGACCTTAGTGGACCACCCCTGTTCTTCCAGCAGATGTCCAAGGCTGGGGACTGGCAAACTAAACTACCAGATTGGTGACACAAAAGCACAGTGGGTATCCTGTGGACAGAAAGGTGCCATAGTGGAGCTCCTGAGGTGCCAATCAAGTTATTTTTTCCTCTAGTTCTAGGGTGTGAGCCCAGGGCATCACATACACCAGGCCAACTGCTCTACTACTGAGCTACACTAACCCTTTAAATATATATATATATATAAAATATATAATATATATATATATATATATATATATATATATATTTTTTTTTTTTGGTTACCAGGGATTGAACTCAACTGTGCGCTTGTCAGGCAGGCGCTTATACTGCTGAGCTAAACCCCTGGCCCTAAAATTTTTATTTTGATACTGAGTTTCAGTATTTTGCCGAGGCTGCACAGAATTTATGTTCTTCCTGTTCTTTCTGTCTCATCCTTTCACCACTGGGACCAAAGGTCCAAACCCTATACCTGGCTCCTCACATTCTATTTCTTGATGTGGTGGTAGTTATGTAAGCATGCTAGGTCACTTAAAAGTTTCATACAGCCATACAGTTATGTCAACTTTTATATATGTTGTAATTCAAGCAGAGGTTGAGAAAGAAAGGAGCCAATGTATCCTTCAGCCTCTCAGCCATAGCACAACACACCTATCCACTATGAACAGAATCAAAATGGCTACAGAACAGCACTGATGGGTAAGGAGGCTGCCCACTGTTCCAAGAGGCAAGAAAGCCAAGGCAGTGTGACTGAAGGGCTCTGGAAGCCAGCACACTAGGGAAGCTCCTTCCAGTTGGCTTAAGGACACAAGGGGACTTTACTAAATCCCCAGGTTATTACTGCACCAAGAAACATGTGACCAGAAGGAAGGCAAGGGGGTAAGAGAAACACGAGGGTTAGGAATGGATTCTCATGGTCTTGGAGGTGAGCTATGAAAACCCAACCTGTGAGAATTTGTCAGAAACCCTCTGGAGACACTCTGCCCAGATACGGCACAGGGTCCCCCACCAGGAGACATGCCTGCTGTCCTCAGCAATGCTCACTCTACTGGTCAGTAAACATACATCCTTGCCCACTCACCAATCCTCCTCTCTTCCAAGAGAGACTTGATCTCAGCAATCTTATCCAGGGCCTTCCGGAGGATGCTAAGGGCAGGGAAGGGACAGAAAAGGTTGAGTGAAGCAGATGGCAAGGTTCTTGAGGCCAATACTATAGCTGGAAGCTACTGTGTAAAGATGGGACAGACAATGATGGGTTGAATATACAATGGTGGCCCCATGAGATTATAATGGAGCTGGTAAGCTATTGTCTAGGGGCTCACAGTCACTTTAATGTTGTGCAACATGCATGTCTGAGACAGTGCTGGTATAAACAAACCTACTGTGCTGCCAGTCTTATGACAGTAGAGCATATACCATCACCTATAGGTATACTAGGTAGTGATAGCAGGTGACTGTTAACTGCTTTACTTTTGCTGGTTAGAATGTTTACTGTAAATGTATCCCATGTCTTCTGTTTACAGCATCTCTTCATTGCATCAATAGAACAGACTGAGCAATGACCTAGAGCAGCAATGGCAACCCTATGGCACACGAGCCACGGCTAGCTGTTTGTTTTCATTGAAAGTTCTACAAGGTTTGCCGTCACTGACTGATAGTATCCACATTTCTGTAAGTGTTCAGGGACATCTGCATAGTGATAAAATTACCTAAGCATGCACATCTCAAAATATTACATGGCCTCTGACTGCACTGTGTATGTGTCTGTATATTTTCATGGTTGTAGTTTTTGTGGCACTGGAGAATGAACCAAAGGTTTTGTGCACACTAAGTAAGCAATCTACCACTGAGGTACACTCCTGTTTTTCTATCCTAAAAGCATAAATAGCAACACAGTAAGAAGTAGCAGGCCAAAATCCCTAACAGAAAGCAGAACCCTACATAGTTAAAGAATTAAGTGGGTCAGGCACAGCTCCTTTGCCCTGAGCACATTTCTGTCCTACAGAAATGCTGCTGCAGTTCAGCAGCCCTAACCACCTTTTTTTAAAGCTAGTATTTAAAAAAAATTTTTATTAAGTTTATTGAGACAGTTTAGATATACACAATGATCACATTAATAGTAGGAAATCTATACTATACATTATGTATTGTTTCCTTTTTTTCCCCAATCCTCTCTTTTCCCTTTAACCACTCTTCCTCTCATTTACAAAGCTGTTTCCATTTTACCTTTTATTGTTTTCTTTCCCCTTCCTAACCATCTCTTGAGATGAGGTCAGATATGACAATCCAGGGTCTATCCTAGGTGGGATAGGTAAAAGGTGAGTCCTGGGGCCCTGGGCAACTGTGCTGGCTCAGACAATCACAGGGGCAGGGAACTCATCGCTACATCACTGCAGGCACGATACAGACCCTGGCATGACACAGACCCAGGAGCAATGCAAGCCAGCATATGGTGGTTCCAGCGTGGTCAGGACCCAAGTAACCCAGCAGATATCATCATGACGGAGCTTTGCTGGAGCCAGGCTTATACCTGATTTGGGGGAATCTCCCCAGAGACTATCTCAACAGCAACCAGCAGCAACACGTCCAATGCAGGTCATTTTCACTTCCCATGGCAAACCTCAGTCCATTTTTCCAACAAAGCTTTATTTAATGGTCCCATGGGATGTGTATGGTGGCACTTGCCTGTTACCTCAGCTTCTTGGGAACCTGAGGTGCAAGGAATGGGAGTTCAAAGCCAACCTGGGCAATGTACAGGGCATAATAAAAAAATGCAGTTAACAGTAAGTTAAAAAAATTTACAGTAGAAGCCATGTTGCTGAGAATGATGTCTGAAGTGAGGGAAATTCTCTGAGCATTATGAAGGGGATTAATAACAATGTGTCCTTTAATTTTATTTAAATTTTCATTTTTTAAACACAACTCATAGGGAGACCTTGTTTTGAAACTAAAAATTAAAAGGGGCGAGTAGAACACTTGCTTGGAATGTATTAGTGCCTCAGTTTAATCTCCAGGACAACAAGAAAGCCCTCATGATATAAAGGCCTTCATCATAGAGCGTGAGCTAGCAGATATCCAGGGGCATGACTCTTACGGAGCTTGCCAGGCAGAGACCAAGACACAGCAAGAGGCTGGCCACACCAAAATTGGCCAGGACTGAGAGGCAATCAGGCATCCCAGAACTAGCAGATCAGGAGGCCAAAGGTGATCTGTAGTAAATAGCCTGTCCTTTTGTTATAAAAGACACCAGCAGACAATTATGTAATATGAATAAGGTCTCTAAGTTTTTCGTTTTATTTTTTTCAGTAGGAGCATTGAACTTGGTGCCTTCACTTGGAGCCATATCCACTTCCCTTTTTATTCTTTACTCTGAGACACAATCTTGCTAAATCACTAAATTGTCCAGGCTACACTTCATCCTTCTGCCTCAGCCTTCCAAGTGCTGAGATCATAGGCATATGCTACCTCATCCAGCTTGCTTTTATATTTGAGTGAATGCCCAGATTTTGAGAATGATACCACAAGTGTATAACACTGTCTCTTGTTTTTTTTGGGGGGGGTGCAGGATGAGAAAAGGAAGGAGAAAAAGAAATGAAGGGGAGAGGAGACAGAGGATGAACATAGGGCAAGAAAGGGGAGAAGGAAAGAAAAAAGAAAGGGAGCAAAATGGCCTGTTTTTAGAAAACTTGTTAGAGCACCCAGATCCTCATCCAGAGCAGCACACAGTGACGCTCAGTGCATGGGATCTCCCCACCTGGACTATGAAGATCTTACAGCGGCTGAGCCGGCACCTCCCTGCCTTGCTTGTGCGCTTTCCCAGCATGGTACTAAGGAGGCCTGGCACAATGTGCATGGAATAAAGGTGGGAAGGTGCAAGTCTGAAAAAGTGACACTGTGACACAATTGTGAGGCGGGTCCTGCAGTTACCAACCAGGCTTTTGAGTGTGTAACTCTGAGTAAGTCATCGCCAGAGATTGCCCACACCAGACTTGACCCAGTCTCCACTCTGCAACAGTCAGGCTCAGGCTGGGAAGGGACGGCTTGCTTTTTACCTGCCAGTGAAGGGTGGGGTGGGTGGGTGGGTGGGTGTGGGTGTGTGTGTGTGTGGTGAAGGGCATGTGTGTGTGTGTGTGTGTGTGTGTTTTACCTGCCAGTGAAGGGCGTGCGTGCGTGCGTGCGTGCACGTGTGCGTAGCTCAGTGCTGGAATTTTAGGCATCCTTTTCTACTAAGGGAATGGGCCAGACTCAACTGAGCATGGCCCTGAAGCATGGTTGCTGAAGGCAAACAAAACTAAGGGCCACAACGCTAAGACAGAGGAAGGGAGAGTGACACAGGATGAGGGGAAGAAGGCTGGGGCCATTATTAGTGCTCAGAGTGCTAGGGGAGGCAAAGTAGCTGGCGCTCCACAGGGCCCTGAGTGTGCAAAGCATTCTTGTTTGTTTATTTGAGATAGGGTCCCACTATGTGGTCCAGCTGGCCTCAGACTCAGAGAACCTCTTGTCTCAGCCTCCCAAGTGCTGGGATTACAGATGCAAACCATCAAGCTCAGCTGCAAGGCAGTTATTTAAACTGCAGGTTATGAGTTACTGGGGAGTCAGGAAATTAATTTCTTGGGTACAACATACATTAAAAAGTAAACATATAAAACTATAAAAGACTAACTGAAAATGTTTTTTCTTTTTTGCAACTAAACTCTTGTTCTAATTCTGTGACATTCATGTAAAACAAATTTGTGCTGTGGAAAATCATTGTTACATTGTCCAGCAGGATACTGGAGTATGAATTTTGGGCTTAAAAATCAGGCTTCCCAGACAGGTAAGGCAGCATATTAACTCCAGTACTTCTGGGGGCTCAGGCAGGAGGATCATAACTTCAAGTACAGCTTGGGTGACGTAGCAAGATCTTGTTAAGTGCAAGGTCCTAAGTTTGTTTTCAGCACTATTTTAATCGGAAAAAAAAAAAAGGAAAAACGAAATCAGGTTTCCCCACCTACTCGTTGTGTGGCTTTGGGCGGTTTATGTAACCACTTTGTGCCTTGGTTTCTTCATCGGTAAAAAAGCAGCAATACTGCAAGCTACCTCAAGGAGTATAAGGATTAAATGAGGTAAATATAAAAAGTACTTGAAATGGTAGGAATAGCACAGTAAAAAATGCATTTCTTACCACAAATGATGGTCAGAAGAGCCTGTGGAATGCTGGCATCTGGTACTTTCTATGAATTTTATGTTCACAATCCTGGAGGGTGTTGTTATCTCTATTTTAAGGATGAGGCACCTGAGTCTCAGCTGAAGTGGCTACCCCAGGTGACGCAGGAAGCCTCTCCTCCCCAGAAGGACAGGCACTGGGCATGCAGGCAGTGGGAGCACGGCGGGGCTTTGGATGGTACTCACTTGCACTCGGCCTCGGCATCAGCCTTGGCAGTTGTATAGAGGCCACGAAGCTTTGTTCGGAAATAAGGAGAAACTACAAACACAGGAATAAGGAGCCATGAGCAATATGGCATGCTTCCAGGACACAGGAATCAGACTTGGCGGCTCAGACAGCCTAGTGCCTGCAGTGTGGACTTTACTGGCTCAGATGCCCAATTCACTTCCATGTGGTACAGATCATCACCACACGTACAAGAGCACTTTCTGATCTTTCCAAAGCACAACACACTCAGAAACTGTCTGTTGGGTATAAGAGAAATAGACAACCCCGACAGCCAGTCAGAGCTGGAAAGCACCAGGCCAGGGGGTGACCACTGTGGGACCAAGGGTACATCACCCTCCAGGTGACAGGGTGCCTGTGCACTCAAAGGGCCAGTTTCCCTAGACAATGCCACAGACTTCAGTCAGAGCTGAGGGATATGGAGGTTCTTTAGTGCTGAGCCACCTGTCACCAGTCTCCTGGATCACTTTAGGTCACTCAGTCCAAGGAAACACTGTTCCTCTGATCTGAGGAGCAGTTTGCTTTGGAAATGCAGATACACACAAGTGTCCTTTTGAAAACAGTGACAGCCACACTAGCAGCCTTGGTTCATGGCCCCTCCTCACTCCCTGTCTCTGCTGAGCCCAACTACTCACTTTTGTTCTCTGTCTGCATCCGCTCATGGGTCTTCTGGATGTTCACTAAGTTGTGCTCACTCCGTGAACGCTCTTCCTATGAGGTCAAAAAGACATGAGGCAAAGCCCTTAACCTGCGTAGTACTCTGCTTCCCTTCTCATATGTCCAAATTCAAGGTAAGTTCAAGATAAGTTTACTCAGTTCCCTGAGTAAATTAAAAACATTACAGAAGCCATCAAAATTAAATCATTAAGTTATGCCTTCTGGCAGCACCAAAGACCAATTGCTCTACAGATTCAACAGAATCCCAAATCCAGCTGATTTCTTTGCAGAAATTGACAGGTTCATCCTAAAATGTACAAAAGTGCAGAGACCTGTGTTATCCAGTCTTAAAAAAGAAAGGTAAGACTGAAGAATTCACATTTTTCAGGCTCAACATTTACTACAAAGCTACAGTAATTGAGATGGTGAGGTACTAAGTTATAGATCAGCACAACTGAATCAAGAGTCCAGAAATTAAGGCTGGGCATAGTAGCTGTAATCCCAGCACTTACAGGCTAAGGCAGAAGGATTGCTATGTTTGAGGGCAGCCTGGTCTACATGGCAAGACCTGTCTCCTAAATAAATAAATTAAATAAATAAATAAAAGGAAAGAAAGGTCCTAGGGCTAGGGCTTTAGCTCAGCGGCTCAAGTGCCTGCCCAGTAAGCATAAGTTCGATCCCTGGTACAAAAAAAAAGTCCTAGAGCAGTGACATGCCCAACATACCACAGTGTGCTATTTGTGACTTAACACCCTCATATTTTTGAATTAAAGACCATTAAAAGAATAAGAAGGACAAGAGTGGTGGTACATTCAAGATGCTGAGGCAGGATAATCACAGCGAATTTGAAGCCAGCATAGGTGAGTTCAAGGGCAGCTTGAACTACAAAATCAAACTTGTTTAAAAAGTGAAGAAAAAAAAAGGCTCCCGGTAAGTTTATTAGACATAGCCTGGTAGGTCCAATTTCCCTGGGCAACAGTCCTAACAGAGTCTAGGGAGGCTGTAGGAGATACCCAGTATCTTCAGGGCAAATTACCTCTAACTGTGACCACCACTCAGCTAACCCAAACTCAGAGCACCCGGTAGGTAACAGGCATCCTTTGTTGGGAAAGAGCTTGAACTCAGATCCCACAAGATCTCTCTGCTGCTTGAATATAAAGAGGGGGCCAGAGCAGCCATGGGGCAGAGCCTTTCTGTCTTAGCTGATGAGGCCAACAGGGTGCACTATACGAATCTTGTGGACCTCAAACCCACAGAAGTCTTCCAGGGGCACTTGTAACTTCCAGTGTAATTTCACTGCTCTTGAACCAATAGATCAAAATAAGAAAATTCCTTGGCTAGCCTGGGCTGCATGGTGAATTCAAGGCCAGTCTGGACTACATAGCAAGACTATCTCAAAACACATACACACACCCCCACCCCTACCCCACAAGCAAAAAAAAAAAAAAAAAAGAAAAATCTTGAAGCACCATGAGCAGGGCTAAGAATTATTCTGAGTACCATCTATGTCCTCCCCATAGGAAGGAGGTGAACCTTGCTACATAATGACTGGAAATCTGTCTTGGTAGAAGCCTATGAACTGAAGCCAACAAAGCTGGAGCTCAGAAACAAGTGCACCATAGCAAACTATAATAGTGCATAACAAGGTTGTCCAAGTAATATGCGATACACAGATCAAAGGCTTTATTTTGCTGGATAGGTATAACATATACTATACAAATTCCTACCAATCTGTTCTGTTAGGAAATTGAATTTTACCATGATGTAATTCAGTATGGCATTGCATACTGGTATACTTGTAAGATCCAACTCCCTTAGCTCATATGACATAATGCTCATACCAATAAGCACAATACTGGTGGAAAATTAGAGTATATAAAGAAGTAAAGAATTGCCTGGATTACCTGTGCAGAATATGATGCATCGAAAGGAACAAGAACACATGATAGGCTGGGTGGAGAAGCAAGTGGTGCAGAGCATCTCTGCACAGCAGGAAAAGGAGACGATTGCCAACTGTATTGCAGATCTAAAGCTGCTTGCAAGCACAGCCCATTATGTAAATGTATCTATCCCAGTTGAGACAGCCAGAAACAGCTGACTACATGGAAACTAGTCTGTATAACAAAACCTTCCCATATTGTTGTCTACTAAAATTACAGTTTTACTTTTCCTAAAAATGAAAAGCTTGGAATTTCATTTAGTGAGACCTAAATGTGTTGGACAGTCAGATGTTTCTCATCCTTACTCTGCATTTTGAGTTGTTCTGTGATGACTTTTAAATAAACACTTTGTTTTTATTAAAACTTATTACCTGACTAAAGTTTACCAAGTTCTAGGTTAAATTTGTAATTAGTTCTATGATCTTGCAATAAAGGACACCTGAAACAAGGAAAAAAAAAATACTGATGGAAAATGACTGCCCTGAGGAAGAGCTGGCAGTCATCCCCTGATTTTTATGCTAAGAGCTCTATGAAAATTTGTAAGACATAAATAGTGGTAGATGAAGGTGAAGGAAATTATTCAAAATGGAAAAATATGAAAATGTAACATCTTTTAGGGTTTTTCTTTCTGTCTGCTTTCCTTCTTTAAAGGCAAAGTCTAGTTTTGTAGTCTAAGCTGGCCTGGGATTTGCTATATAGTTCATGTTGCTCTCAAACTCGAAACTGTCATGATCTAGCCATCAAAGCGATGGGATTATAGGCATGAGCCACAACGACTGGCCCTAGTAGCCACCTGGGCAGCAAAAGAGTAATTCAGCAGACCTGAGTTGTCCAAATCTTGCACATCTAAAAAGAGGTTTAGCTGGTTTGAAAGGACAGCATTCTAGAGGTCGAAGCAGGAGTTTTGTTTTTTTTAATTTTATTTTAAAGATAGGGTCTTATTATATATTTTAAGCTGTTCTTAAACTCACCACGTAGCCCAGGCTGCTCCAAACTTGTAGTGATCCTCCTGCCTCAGCCTTCTAAATGCTAGGCCTGTGCCACCATGCCCAGCGAAGCAGTACATACACTGCACATTGCCATCCCCAAATCAGTCACCCAGATCAAAAGACATCTGTATTCAATTGTCTGAACAGTACCAGTGCAAACCTTTCTCTTCAATGAACTCACGGAAATCAGTAGTATAACTATGCAGTTGCTTCTTTCAGCTTCTCAGAGAGAGAATACAATGTTTACACGTGCATGCTTGATTTATTTCACTTATGAGTATGGTCTCAAGTTGCATCCATTTACCTATAAAAGTCTCAAGTTTTACCACTTATTTTAAGTATGAATGTAAATTTGGACCACTTATTTTAAGTATGAATGTAAATTTCCTTTTTATAGTTACATCATCTCCTATTTATAGTTACATATTAACACTATTATTATATAATTCAATATATCTGCTGTCTGTTGTAACAGATAAACTAAATGCATCCATCTGACTGACAATCTGAACTAGGGCTTATTGTGGGAATAAGGCTTATATTATCAACATCCTAAGAAATAATGTTAGGGCTTATTTTCCAGTTAGGTCTTATTTTCAGGGAAATATAGTATACCTTAAGCCACTGAACTGTATACTTTACATAGATTGTGTGTTATGTGGATTACCTCTCAAAATCCAACACAAAATGAATTCTACTATTGTGTTCGTAACAGAAAATCCAAGAGGAATGGTAGTCATACTTAACATTCCCCTCTCCTTGCCCTTATTATATTACCTCAGTTCCTGCCCGTCCGGTCTCTGTGAACACAGCCCCTACCCCCAGCTCCCTCTGGCTCAGCATCCAGCTCTTGTTCCTGTCTAGGAGTGAAGGACTGTGGCATTTTTTTTTCCTGTCTTTTTGAGACAGGGTCTCTCTATGCAGTTCAGGCTGGCCTTGAGCTTACTTGGTAGCCCAGGCTAGTCTCAAATTTACAACAATCCTCCTGCCTCAGCCTCCTGAGTGCTGGGATTACAGGTATGTGCCACCACACCCAGTGCCCTTGGTATTTTACCTGAGTTTGCTTGATCAGTTGATGGAGCTCTGTGAGAAGTTCTGCAATGCGGGAGTCAGCAGACACGAGGGCCATGGTATGTGGGGCACTTGATGGGGGAGGAAACAAAAGACAGCTCTGTTAGTGGCTACTGTGAGGTGAACCTATTCCTTCTAGAGAGATGCTGGGCGGGGTGTGGTGGTGCAGGCCTGGAATCTGGGAGCATTATGGGAGGCTAAGGCAGGAGGATAGAGCTCAGCCTGGCCAAAATAAAAAATAAAATAAAAAGGCTAGAGACATAGCTCAGTGTGACAACCCTGGGTTCAATTTCCAGTACCATCCCCCCCAAAATTATATAAGGTGCAATTATAGATAACAACAATGTATTACTGGAAAATTACTAAGAACTAAAGTACAAAACAGATAATTATGTGAGGTCATATGTATTAACTTGATTTAGGTACTCATACCACATACCAAAACATTATGCTATACAACGTAAACATATACAAGTATTATTTCTTAATAAAAATTTTAATTGATGAATATAAACCAATTACGGTAAAACACTAGTGATATATGTAGAAAAACAATGTGAGAATTCCTTGTGTCAGTTTTGTGAGTTTTCTGTAAGTCAAAAATTGTTAAAATAAATACTCAAAACATCAAAAAAAAAGTTGACCTCTAACAAAATACTGAGACTATTTCCCACCTACACAGAAGAGATACTTCCCCCTTTATAGACTCATTCATTCAATTACATTTACTAAACATCTACTTTGTGGCAGGCAGGAGGGATGTACAGCAACAAATAAGACACACAGGGTAGGGATACAGCTCAGAGGCACAGTGCCTGTCTCACAAGCGCGAGGTCGTGAGTTTGATTCTTTTTTTTTTTTTATTGGTACCCAGGATCGAACTCACGACTGCTTGCTTGCAAGGCAGGTGCTTATGCCGCTAAGCTAAATCCCCAGCCCATGAGTTTCATTCTCGATACCAAAAAACGAAAAGAAAACAAAATATCTAAATCTATTTTGCTTCTTAGGAAACAGATCAGAAAGAAAAGCAGACATTAAGTACAGTCATGCATGGCATAATGACATTTCTCAACAATGGTTGTCCTATAAGTACAACTTAGCATTTTTTACTGTGCCTCTTCTATATCTAGACATACAATACCCTTTTGTGACAATTAGCTCCAGCATCTACTGCAGCTGACATGCTGTATAGGATGGTAGCCTAGGACCAAAAAGCTAAACCATATAATGCAAATGACATAGTCTAGGTGTGCAGGATGCTATGCAGTATAAGTTTGTGTAAGTACATTCCATGATGCTCACATAATGAAATTACCTGTCAATACATTTCCAAGAAACACAGTTCCATATTCTTATTTAGTAAGAATTTCACAGGGGCTGGGGATTTAGCTCAGCGGCATAAGCGCCTGCCTTGCAAGCAGGCAGTTGTGAGTTCGGTCCCTGATACTGATAAAAAGGGAAAAAGACAAAAAAAAAAAAAAAAAAAAAAAAAAGAAGAAGAATTTCACCTAAGGGTGAAATAAGCACAACAAGAGACAAATGACAAAACAGATTAAAAAAATCTGAATACATAACGATGGAGAATCTCAAAGAACTGAAACAAATTCTCAAGTAGAAAGAACCTACCAAGTACCAAATACAACAAACAGCCAGAAGCAAATTTTTTTTTTGTCTTTTTGAGACAGGGTCTTGTATGCATTTCAGACTGGCTTTGGGCTCTCTTTATAGCCCAGGTTGGTCTAGAACTTGCCACAATCCTCCTGCCTCAGCCTCCTGAGTAACACTACAAGAGTGCACCACCACACACAGCTCAAAACTTCATTTCTACTTATTTATTGTCTTTTTGAGACAGGGTTTCACTATGCAGTTCAGGCTGGCCTTGAACTCACTTTGTAATCCAAGGTGGCCTCAAACTCATAGCAATCTTCCTGCCTCAGCCTCCTGAGTGCTGGGACCACAGGTCATGTTGAGCTCAGAAGCAAAACTTAAAACCTCAAAGATAAGTAGACTGCTAATAGATTGGTGGAGAAGAGAAAAAACACATCATGAATACTTCAAGGTTTTCCAACCTGACATACTGGAAGAATACTATATGAGGTATGGTTTTTGAAGGATAAAACTCAAAATTTCCGTTTTGAACACAATCAAAATGCCAATCAGAGGGGCTGGGGATACAGCTCAACAGCACAGTGCCTGCCTAGCAAGTTCAATGTCATGAGTTCAATTCCCAGTACGGAGGAAAAAAAAAAAAAAAAGCCAATTAGACATTTAAATGTGCTATGCCAGACATGAATCTTAGGATTTTTTTTCTTTTTTCTTTTGGTCTTTTTGAGACAGGGTCTCACTTGTAGCTCAGGCTGACCTCAAATTCACAGCGATAATCCAGCCTCAGCCTCCCAGTGCTAGAATTACAAATGTGCACCACCACATCTGGCATCTTATGGATTCTTATTTGAGTTCAAGAACACCAAGCATAAGATAGAAATTTTATAGTTAGCACAGTAAATGGCATTTATATTTACAGTATAAAATGGGGAAAGCCAAAGGAGTAAATAGAGGCAAAGAAGCCACCTAGCCTTAGGCCTTGGGGTTGTACAGCTATTAAAATTTTTTAAAAAGGAGCAAGAATAGGGGCTGGGGATTTAGCTCAGCGGCATAAGCACCTGCCTTGCAAGCAGGCCGTCGTTGAGTTCGACCCCCAGTACCGATTTTAAAAAAAAGGAGAAAGAATCATTTAAAGAAAAGCCAGAGGCAAAGTAAGATGATTAGCAAGCCAAATGAAGGCATTTGAGAACTGCATCAAATCCTGCTATGGATCACTAACAACACCGAACTTGACCATTGCAAACATCACCAAAGCTGTATCAGTGGAATGATGTGGGGGCCAAGGCCTCCTGGAGTGGGCTGAAAAGGACACCTGGAGTGGAAAAGGGTCTACTGGGTATACACTTAAGCCCTTCATTGCAAATGGGAGCAGTCACATGAGCGGTAACTAGAGGTTGAACGAGGTTGTTCTGTTAACATGGGTACTTTTATTTTTGTTTTATTTTATTTTTGGCAGGACTGGAGATTGAACCCAGAAAACGCTTCCCCCCAACACACACACCTTTTTTTATTGACAGGCTCTTGCTAAATTGCCAGTTGCCTGCGTTAACTTCAAACGTGGAATCCTCCTGCCTCAGTCTCCACAGTAGCTGCGTTTACAGACGTACGCGGCCACATTAGCTCTATTTTCTTTTAGAAAGTGGATACTTCTGGTGCAAACAGTAAAAAACGCCGGTCTTTCAGTACCGAGCTAAGTCCAACGCGGGACGAAGGGCGCAAGCGCACTGGGCCTCTCGAGACCTCCCCTTACCACCCAGAGCGCGTGCGCGTCCGAACCAAGCGACGCGTCCGTAGGTAAAGCAGGCAATGTGGACCCGGATGGAAGATTACAGTCCTTCGTTGCCTAATTTCTCCCGAGTTCCCAATCACGGCCTAGCCTCACCCAGAGTCCCAGGCGAAAGAAACACGTCTCACTGGCAGTTGCGACGGCGGGAACAGGCGCGTCCTCGAACGCTCCCTGAGTCCGCAGAGGACAAGGCACTTCCGTTCAAAGCTTGGAGGCCCAGGGAGAGCTACACGTTTTTTTTCCTTTTTATAAGCTTGGGCCAGCGCGGCGGACCCCTTCTACGCATGCGCACGTTGGCGTACTGCATTGCCTCCTGGGAAATGTAGTTTTCACTTTGGCGCCCGGCGGCTCATCCTGAACTGAATTCTGATATAGCAAAACAGAAACAATTAAAAGCATCTGGTTGTTGATTAGGGGAGGAAGGCCCCCAAGGAATATATGAGACCTATGTACTTTCAGCTTTAAGTTTGTTGAAAATGTAAAATTGCTCTAAAGAATAAAATTTATGTACATGCAATCCCTCCCCCAAAATCATTTGTCAACTGCATGAGTTACAAACATGTATTAATAAAAATTTTAGAAAATGTTTTGTAAAAATTGGAAACAAATTATAAACAAGCAAATCTTCAGAACCATAAATTACACTTTTACAGACTCTTACAGGAAACAAAGGATGTGGATACGCAAACATTTAGTTAATAGTATCTATCGAAAGCTATCCTGATAGCTTGACATGGTGGCACACACTTTAATCCCAGCACTTGGGAGGCTGAACAAAGAGGATCGTCCTGAATTTGAAGCCAGCCTGAATAATATAAGTGAATTCAAGGCCAAACAGGCACTACATAGTGAGCCCCAGCCTCAAAAATAACTGAAAAAAAAAGAAAGAAAGAAAGCTATCTTGATATTATTTCTTATGTAACCACTATAAAAGCATCTCAGTAGATCACACCGAGATTCTTTTCCAAAGAATCTTGAAGCGTCTCGGAGATCTTTACTTGAAGACACCAGGAAGGAGGGTACATAGTATAACTTCTTGCCCGTGCCCTCAGGAGTCCCCTCCCTTTGCTAAGTTCCACTGCTGAGGGCAAAGCCCACATCTCTTGCTCCTTTCCGCTTTCTTCCCATTTAGAACTGTCTTGTTGCATAGCGGGAGTCAGTTTCGGGCAACTCATGGGTAAAGCCAGTTACCCGTCGTCCTTAGAATGGGACCTTCCGTGGCAGACAAGTGGAGAAAATATATTGTGCCACCTTCTGGTCATAATAGAACTTTTTGTGTATGCATCAGAAACAAAGACCGTTAAATAGTGGAGGAAATTGTACCTTTTCCTATTTAATAGTCTTATCCCTGTTGTATATACAAAAGGTCTCATATGATCAGAAGGTGGCATAATATGCATGGAATCAAAACAAGGGCCTGCAATATATTGATTCATAATTTTCTTTTTGTCTACTTATAAATTACATTTTATGAAAAAATCTAAAATATACACCTGATAAAGGAGAAAATTTAAAAATTCTCCATAATCCCAGTCTAGGATATAACTTACTATGGATGTTTTTGGTAACTATGTCATTGTCTTGCCTTTTTATGTTTAATGATGAAAACAAAATTTCTTACAAAGATAGGATTACAGCTTCCTCCCAGAGCTGCACTGGACTCAGGATCACCCTTAGGGTGGCTGGGGCTGCAGACATCTGTGCTGGACGGGGCTGCTTGGCTGTGGAGTGGCCTTAGCAGCAGCTTTGCTCAGCCAAGCCCTCTCCTTGCCAGTACCAGCAGGGTGCCTGCAAGAGATTCAATACCTCTTCTCCAGCCGCAAGCCAGGACCAAGTCATCAAGCAGAACCCAAAGACTACCCTTCCTGACCAATCTCCCAAATATTCTTGACCTTCCTCAGAATTCCACACCTCCACTTACCAGCCACCAAGTACTAGGGATTAAACCCAGTGGCTTTACACTGAGCTACAGCCTTAGCCCTTTAAAAAAATTTTTTTTGTTTGGAGACAGAGTCTCTCTAAATTGCTAACTTTCCCAGACTGGGCTCAGTCTTGTCTTTTTCTGCCTCAGCCTCCCAGTGTGCTGAGACTAAAGGCCTCTGTTATGAGGCCTGGGTAGGATTCCACCTTTGAAGACCAGTACCCCATAAGGGGTTCCAAGAGCTAACCACCCTACAGGAGTGTCACAGAGAAAGACAGCTGAATGGTAGGAAACCTGAACTTGCTATGCAGTTCAGGCTGATCTTGAACTCACTTAGGTAGCCTGGGCTGGTGTTGAATTCACAACAATCCTCCTGCCTCAGCCTCCTAAGTGCTGGGATTATGGTTATCCTGTTCAGGAAGTCTTCACCAAAAAGAAGGGTATTAAAAGACCCTTCTGTGTTGACCTCACTCACTTTGATGACTGTTGCTTTGAGACTTACGTCTTCTTTGGAGCTAAATATCATAATTTCAGGAAGATAGACATTGTTACAGTTTTTTGCATGTGTGATTTTGAGTAGTAAAGCTGTCTACCAAGCAAAAATGTTTACCAGGTGAATTTATGGTAATACGAACTGATAAATGGCTAATATGGATACTGCAAATCATCTCTCTTTCTTTTTTTTTTTTGGTACCAAGGGTTGAACTCATGACTTTGAGCTTGCCAGACAGGTGCTTGTGCCTTGAATTAAATCCCTGGCCTACTGCAGATATTTATAAAGTTTATTTGGATTCAGGATTTTCCACTATGCAAATATATACATACTATGTGTAGTTTGCCCTGGCAGAGAGGCATATTTTACTAGTGACATTTATGATAATTGCATGATGATTTGCACTGTTTATTACTAAGTTTTCCCCAGGTATGGTGCACATGCATGTAAGTCCCAGCTACTCAAGAGGCTAAGGCAGGATTTTTCGCTGGAGAGACCTTGTCTCAAAAAACAACACATAGCTGGGCATGGTGGCATATGTATATAATACCAGCACTTTGGAGGCTGAGGCAGGAGGATCACCAGGAGTTTGAGGTGAGCCTAAACTACACAGTGACTCTGACTCAGTAACCCTTTTCTATTGCCTGCACCAGCTGGCAGGCTTCCCATTACCCTCTCACAGTGTTCCCTTCCAGATCTGAGAGCTTTGTGTCACAAACTGATTGATATAAAAATTTTGACTGAAGTTTGTACTAGGAACTAAATACTTCTCTAACGATATATTTTAAACAACCCCAGGCCCCAGGTCCTTTAAGCATTCTTTTTTTCCCCCTGGTCTTTTTGAGAGAGGGTCTCACTATGCAGTTCAGGCTGGCCTTGAGCTCACTTTTAACCCAGGCTGGTCTTGAACTCACAACAGTCTTCCTGCATTCTGGGATTACAGGTATGTGCCACCATGCCTGGCTCTTTAAGCATTATAAGCAGAAGACCTAGGAGTTGGAAAATCTTAATGTGGACACTTGAGTAATCACAAGCCATGTACATTTCCTTTCCTTTGTTCTACCACATGCTTGTCAATAGACCTCGTGTAACAGACAGTACATTTAGAATAGCACTGAAGCGGGTGTCAGGAGGTTACTGCCTCCTCAGCCCAGGACTAGAACTCCCTGGGCCTGACTCCCTTGGTTTACCAAACGCACTATGCTCTCCCGCACCTGGGCTTTCCTGAACACGGCTCTAGGCCTCCTGGTCTAGCTGACTCCTGCCCACACTTTCTGGGTTAGCCCACATGTGACTCTCTGGGAATCGCTCCCAAATCTTGCCACTTGCATGTTTTTCTTATATGAGTCACTGTGTAGTTTAGGCTCACCAGCACTGTGTGATAACTTCCTGTTTATTGAACACTGTTGTCCACTATCCTATCTATAAGCTTCTTTAATATTGACACTATGTTCTGTTGCTTTTCTTATTTTCTATTTTTTAGTTTGGGGGGGTGTCTTTTTTTTTTTTTTAATGGGGACCGGGGATTGAACTGCTTGCAAGGCAGGGGCTTATGCCGCTGAGCTAAATCCCCAGCCCCAGTTTGGGGTTTTTGAGACAGGGTTCTCTATGTAGTTCAGGTTGGCCTCAAGTTTGTGGTTCTCCTGCCTCAGCCTTTCAAATGCTGGGATTGCAGGCATTTACCACCACACCTGGCTAATTTTTGATTCTGTTTATTTTTGATTAATTAATTGCTGCCCTGGAATTGAACCCAGGGCTTTTGCATTGAGTTACATCCCTAGCACCTAAGCCCCTTTATTTTGAGTGAAGTTTTCACTAAATTCCTAAATTGCCCTGGCTGGGATTAATTTTTGATCCTCCTGCCTCAACCTCTCGGGAGTTCTGGGACTGCAGGCCTCACTCTGAGTGACCATGCTCAGCTGGGTCATGTTTGCTTTGATTTCCCCAGTCCCATGCAAGGGCTGGTGCGTGATCACTGCCTAAACATTTGTAGAATGGAAAATGCAGATCTCTATCTGTCTGTATGTCTCTCTCTCTCTCTCTCTCTCTCTGGGGGCGGGGAACAGAACCACTTGCCTATAAAGTGCATATATGCTCCCCCTCAGGTCTGTCCTCAGCCCTGGTCCTTGCTTTCTTTTTCTGTTAAATGAGATTTAGTTTCCTTGTCTGTTGTGTGGAATCAGGTTTGTTGCTTTCTAAGGAGATGTCCAGTAAAAGGATTTATTATTCTAGATTTTTCTACTAGTAAGAGGAGTCTTATCTGGCCATCTATTATTTTTAGTTGCCAGAAAAAAAATGCATGACATCTATATTATGCTAACATGTATTACTCAGAGTCACCTCTATTATTTCAAAAAATTTATGCAAAAATAAGATTATTGCATACGTGCCATTTTGTAACCTGCTCTTTTCACTTAACTATATACTATGACATTTTTCTCATATGATGGCTACAGAGTGCCTCACCGGATGGTGCTGAGAAGCCACTTACCCACAGACACTTGCAATGTTTCATGTTTTTTCATCACTGCACACGGCTGTGGTACAATTTTTTGTTCCCTACTGTTTACTCTCCTCTGGGGGCATTTCTGTAGAGAAGGCTCCTGCAAGTGGAAGTGTGTTATCAGGGGATATGTGCGTTTTGAAATCATCATTATCACCACACTGCCCACAACAGAGGTAAGGACAGCACCTGTTTATATTCAAGATGATATTCTGTGAATTTCCTGAGGCTGGTGCATAAAAATACATCTTCCTCTGAACTGTAAAGGTCAACAGACCAAAGAATGACTCAAATAAGTCCAGTTTGGTGAAGAAATTAGTTTATTCAGTTACCTACAGAGTGATGGATGGATTATAGGAACTTGTACTCCCAAAGTTGCCAATCCCTACTTACCAAGCTCTTGTTTAAATCATGCTCTTCTTAGAGCAAAAGGCAAAAGGCAGAAGTTAGAACCAAAATCAATGAAAAAAATTATGTCCAGATTAGAGAGTTTCTCTGGACCAAGGTGAGGTCATACAAATGCGTCTTCTTTCACTTCATTTAAACTTCCTGTAACACCTGGGTACACAGCAATGTCACAACCCGTCTTGCTTATCTTATCCATTCAGGCATAGAAGTTTCTGGATTCTTTGAGACAGTGACTCTGCACAGTCCTTAGGATGTCCAGATTTGATTTGGATAGATGTTTTGTTTTGGGGTGTGTGTGTGTGTGTAGCCCAGTCTGGCCTTGAACTCCTGCCTCAGCCTCCCAAGTGCTGGGACTACAGTCATGCCCTTCCATGCTTTGCTTCTTATCTGGATGGTGTCACTGCTGGACTTGGGTGTGTCTTGCTGTCTTTCCCTCACACAGCCCAATTCCCAAGCCCCTAGATTTACTCTAGGATGATTTTAGTGGGTTGTAATAGCTGTGACTGGCAATCTGCTGGAACATTACAAAGTTATAATCACAAGTGGAAAGCAAATAGACTTCTTCATGGCTGATTATACACATACCTGGAGGTTAGAGAGTGGAAAAACTCACCTGTTCACTTTTCCCGCCAAGTTCCTGCTGGGGCGCTCCAGGTCCATGGCAGATGGGTGGCATTTCCCAGAAGCCCCTTCTCTTTTGGATATTCTCCCTCTGGCCAACCTTCTCCCCAAGGTTTAGCTTTCTTTCTTCCAGCACCTGAAAATCCAGGCCAAGGAGACTTCCTTTCCTGGCTCCGTCATGGTGTCTTTGTGGCCCTCTGTAAGATAAAGGTGGGGCCTTTCAGATCCCTCTGAGCAGAGCATCTGGAAGCTGAATAAGGAATGCTGACCTTAGCAAGGATTCATGTATTCATTCCATTGTTTACTGAGCACAGACTGTGTGCCAGGAATTAAAGGTACAGTCATCAAACAGGCAAGACTCCTGCACTAATGAATAACCATAATAAACCAGCAAACACTTATGCAGCACTTACTGTCTTCCAGGCACTGTCCTAAGCCTTTATAATAACTGACCTTTCAATCCTCATAAAAAACCCCATCAGGCAGGATATCATTATTAACCCCATTCTGTAAATGGAGAAACAAAGGTAGCAACAGACTGAGTAACCTGACTAAGGGTACACAGCTAACAAGAGGTAGAATCAAATTTTGGATCCAGGCAGTGGGGCTCCAGAGTCTGCTCATTTAATCGCTAACTAAATAACCTGATTATTTTATTCTAGTGGGAACAAATAATGGGAGAGTAAGCAAGTCAAAAAGATATTGTCATTTAGGAATAACTGAGCTCTATGAAGAGAGAAAAATAAGCTGGATATAGTGGCTCATGCCTGTAATCCCAGCACTCAGGATGATGAGGCAGGGATGACGATCTCTAGGAGTTTGAGGCCAAGCTGGGCTATATAATGACTGCAAGACCAGCATGAACTACATAGCAAACCTCTGTCTCAAAAAACAAACAAACACCAAAAGAAAAAGAAGAAAAAGAGAGCTGGGAATCAGCTCAGGGTAGATCGCTTGCCTATCTTGTGCAAGGTCCTGGGTTTGATCTCCAATATTGCAAGAAAAGAAAATCATGTACCCAAGGACTAGTCACCAGAGAAGCCTGGTGGCAGAGTTCAAAGGTGAAACAACCTGTTTTCAAGTGGTGTCAGTACTGCCCCCTAGAGGGCTCCTTAGGAATTATAAAGGTGGTTTTGGTTGTCAAAATAAAAGGTCGTGACAGAAAAGAGAACAGCCGAGTGTGGTGGCTCACGTCTGTAATCCTAGCACTCAGGAGGCTGAGGCAGGAGAATCATTAGGAGTTCGAGACTAACCTGGGCTACAGAGTATAACCTGGACTACAGAGTACGTTCAAGGCCAGCCTGAACTGCATAGAGAAATCCTGTCTCAAAAAGACAAAAAAAAAAAAAAAAAAAAAAAAAAAGAGAGAGAGAGAGGAACAGTTTCCTTCAGGGTTCCCTTGCTGCTATTCATCCTACACAATGTTTGGCTGTCCTGCTAGACATTGATGAAAGTTAAAAATTTACCAATAATGACCTGACCCTAGACTTAACCCCGTCCCATGTCATGATACAGGAATTATTTTGCTACTCCAAAAGTGACAAAGCCTGCAGGACACCAAGAACACTGTATTTCCTTTCTCCACCTCACTTTGCCTTGTTTACCCCTTTCCATTATAACCTATCTTAATTATTATCCCAATTCTGATTCGATTCAAGTAGCCTTCTGTGTTTGCTGTATTTCTCTGGTGTTAATTTACAAATCAGGAAAACAAAAGCTAACTTTAGTTCTGTTTTAGGCAAGGGAGGAGCAGAAGTGAAGCCACTTTTAAACCAGGGGTGACATGGGGCCACTAGAGGGCGGAGAGGGTAGAATTGTGGCAACCCAGAGCTGGCACAGCGACAGTGGACACAGAGCAAAGTGGGGGGGATGGCTGGTGCAGGTTAGCGACATCTGGCCTGGCCCAAGAAGGTCCAGGAGTCTGGGTTTTTTGTTTGCCTGTTTGATTTTTGTTTTTAAGGATGTCTGTTTCTAAATGTGGAATGTTTTGTCTGACTACCTGCCTGCCCGAGACAACAGGGCTGATAAATGCTGGGATGGCACTTCTCAGGGCCATGATGACTCACAAAGGTTAGCTCCCTCAGCCAATAATACTCTCCAGTCAGCAACATTCCTTTTCATGTTTCTTATTTGAACTTAAAACACACTAATTTTTATTAAATTCATACTTAAGGCTGCCTGTTTGTGTTCATATCCGTACTCAGCTCCTGGAAAGGCAAGGGCAGGAGGACCACTTGGACCCAGGAATTAAAGGCCAGCCTGTGCAAAAGAGACACTGTCTCTCTACCAAAAAACTTAAAAAAATATATTTCATACATCCTTAAACTCACAGTAATTCATATTAAGTAAGTGCAAGTATCTGTTCACTTCATTATGTCTTCTACCTATATTATTATATACTAACTTTCTTTTCTGTCTCCTTTCTGTTCCAGCAAGGATCTGTGTTTTGGAAGCTATGTGATTGACCCTTAGGTCATGCTTGCATTGCACTGGATGGTACTGCCAGGGTCTTTGTGGTATTTTCTCTTTGGGTCCTCTCACCAGCTCTAGGAATTGGATAGGATTACTATGGAGGAGGAACCTAAAGCATAGAGAGGTAAAGAGGCAGGCTGGGCATGGTGGTGCACACCTGTAATCTCAGCACTTGGGAGGTGGAGGCAGGAGGAGTGCCAAGAATTGGAGGCCAGTTTGGGCTACATCGTGAGTTCAAGGCCAGCCCAGACTATACTGTGAGACTGTGTCTCAAGAAAAAAAAAAAAAGAAAGAAAGAAAAAGAGAGAGAGAGAAAGTGGCAGGTCAAGGTCACACTGAAAATGGTGATCAGGAGTTTGAACCAGGGCCTGTAGCTTGCTGAAGCTGCACTCTCCATCACTCTGGGAGCCTCCCTCTCAGGTGAGGGAGATTCCCTAGGGACTCTGTTCCTTGAAATGAAAGGGGCTTTCCATAAAAATAGGGGAGCATTGCACGATGGGTGGGAACCACTGACCTAGTGCATAGCTTGTGGATGTCCCCTCCTCCCTCCTTCTACATTCCATTTCTGCCGCCATCTCCTGAGTCCAAACCAGACTGGTGTACAGGGTAGGGGAGTTATGTGGCCAGGCCCAGGAGGGACATGTGGCAGAGGGCAGGGGACAGACAAGAAGGGGCAGCCTCAGTAAGGTTGTCTGATTTCTCTTGGCCAAAAGCCTAAGGACTGTTGACGCCCGGTTCCTGTCCCCTCCCCTTCTCCCCCAGGAGGCGGGAGTCTCCTCTGGAAAAACACTGGGGCCTCAGCTTCTGGGCTGGGTGCTGGGGGAAGGCCAGATTGCATCAGACGGTGCCTGAGGCCCAGGGCCCATCTGTGTTCTGAGGAGGAGACACAGCCTTATAGGTCAGGGCAGACAGACTGGAAAAGGAAGCCGGACACAAACAGAGCTCGAGGAGAAGATGAGGGAGGCAGCGAGTGGACCAGAGCTGAGGGCCACCTTGCCGCCAGCAGCCAGCCCCTCGCAGCAGGTCCTAGGCCTGGAGGATGAAGAAGCCAGCCTGGATGAGTATGACCAGTACAATCTGGCCCATCCCTACGGGGGTAAGGCCTGCTCTGCCTCCTCCTTGGACCTTCTACTTCCCACCTCCTCCCCACAGGGCCAGGATCCTCTTATTGGACTTCTTTTCTGGCTGCACCCTTCTCCAGCCAGCCTGTTCCCTGGGCTCAGGTCACCCTCCCATCCCTCCACAGAATGCTTCTTACACATCTTGGGGGTCCCTCCTTCCACTGATAGAAACAGCTGGCAGGATTGTGACTGTCCCTGGGCTGCATGATAATGCACCCCACTTCCCTGTTCTTGCCATACCTGCACCCCTAACCATCTGCTTTTCTGCCCACCTCTCCTCTGACTCCTACCCTGGTTATCAGCGGGCGGAGGCCGAAAAGGTCGGACCAAGAGAGAAGCTGCTGCCAACACCAACCGCCCGAGCCCTGGTGGACACGAGAGAAAGTTGGTGACCAAGTTCCAGAACTCAGAGAAGAAAAAGATCCGGCGCTGAGTCGGAGCTGGGGGTAAGGAGCCAGGGGCCAGAGAGCCAATGGAGGTGCCTTAGCCTCACAAGGACAAGCCTGAAGGTGTATGGCTGGGTGGCCAAGAGGGATCAAAGAACTGTCCTGGAATAAAATAAGACACGAGTTTTCCAGTGACCAGAGCAAGGAGGAGACACACAGCCTTTCCAACTGTGTGTCTGTATTTGGGTTACAGAGACCCCAAGGCCATAGAGGGTTGGATTCTCCTCTGGAGTTATACACCAGATGAGCGGGAGAGGGAGCAATAGAACCCAAGTCTCCGCGCATTTCACCACCTGCTTTCCCTGCCCCCAGATAAGACAGACCACGGACGCCACACCCAGACATGGAGACAGAACTGCGGAGGAATCAGGGAGCAGGATTTGGATCTGCTTGCCCTCCTCTCCACCCCCAGGATTTACCCCCCCTGAGTGAGGCTCCAGGGAGGCCCCCGAGAAAACACCTCCAGGTCTAGCAAAAGGGCCAGCTGGGAACTAGAGGTAGACCGCGGCTAGGCAGAGTCAGGAAGCTTCTTCTCAAAAAGAGCCACTGGAGAAACTGGAGCCCCCCAGCCCCATCCCAGGGCAACTGTGACAATAAACAAGTTCAGGAGCTGCAGTTTCCGTGTGTGTTTTATCCCGGCTCTTTGTGTGGTTTTCTGTGGGCACGTTTCTGCCTGCCTCTGTCTGCATTTGCCCAAACCAACCAGGGCATTCATGGTGTGTGTCAGTGTTTGGTGCATGTGTCATTTTTAAGGGTGTACTCCAAAAATAGAACACACCACATCTGCTCAGAATTTAGTCATACGGCCACACCCATCTACAAGAAAGGATGGGAAATGAAGTATCTGGCAGCTTGGCCCATGTGACAGCACAAACATGAATGGAGGCAGGGTTTAATTATTCAAAGAAGCAGGCGAGAAAGAATATGAGGAGAAACGAGCAAGAAACATTGGTCACAGGCTAGGTGCTTTGGTGAATGGCTGTAATTCCAGCACTCTGGGAGGCTGAGACAGGAGGATTACAAATTCCAGCCCAGTTCAAACCTGGGTGGTATTGCGATTTAACCAGAATCTGTCTCAAAATTTAAAACAACGGAAAAGGGAAATGGGCATGGTGTCGTGTGAAGACCCAGTATAATCTTCAGTAAAATAAATAAATAAATGGGAGGAAAGAAAAATAAATTGCTAACAGACAAATCTATCTGTGGAGCGGAAACCCCTAGCACTGGCCAGAGTTCAGCTTTCTCTTCTCCTGTCTTTTCCAAGTAAGCATGCAGCTGCACAAGCCACAGCTGGCTGTGGTGGCACATAGCTCTAATCTCCTTACACTGGAAGCTGAGGCAAGACAATTCCTTTTGAGTTGGAGGCTACCCTGCGGCTACATAGTGAGTTCAAGGCCAGCCTGAACTACATAGTGAGATCCAAAAGACCAAAAAAAAAAGTCTTCCCCACTTCCCCTCTCCCACTGTCTGATGACCTGCAGCTCAGGCAGGCCTCTCTTCTGGGATGGCAAGGGCCCAGAGTGCCCTCATCGTGTGTGAATCCTTCAGATTTGCCTTGGAGCTCCTCTTCCCATGTAAATGATGACCCATTGAACCTTTACTGCATGCCCACTGTGTCAGCAGGGCCTGATCGAAGCATGAACTGCAAGGAAGGACAAAGGGGACACTGGCAGGATTGGAACCAGGCCTGAGGGCCTCTGTCAGCTCTAGACCCAATGGGCAAACAGCTGCAGCACCATCGTGCAGTTGCTGGTGCTGGCATAGATCTGGGTGTCAGTTTCGGAAAATCATAGCAACAGCTCCCATGTTTGGGGCTCCTGTTGCATGACAGGTTTTCATTTATTCGTTTGTTTGCTTTTTGTGGTGCAGGAGATTGAACCTGGGGCCTCCCATGTGCTAAGTAGATGGTCTACCACTCAGCTACACCTCCAGCCCTGTGACCACAAGGTGCCATGGATTTTATTCCTTTTTTTTTTTAATCTTTTTTGAGATGAGGTCTCACTATGCAGTTCAGGCTGGACTTGAGCTCATTTTGTAGCCCAGGCTGGTCTCGAACTCGCAGTAATCCTCTCACCTCAGCCTCCCAAGTGTTGGGATTACAGGCGTGAGCCACTATACCCGGCTCAGATTTTATTCCTTTTAATTGATAACTCCATGTTGTAGTCAGGGGTTGTGAGGAGAACAATTAGAGTCAGGATACAGAATTTATAATATTATTTTATGATGGCCACCCAGAGTTAATACAAGAAAGTGCAGGAAATCTGTCCACAACACTAAAGACACAGAATATTCAGCCAAGGGCCTGAATCCCATAGCAGTGTCCTGCATGAGTGCACAACTGAGTCCTTTTGCTGTACAGCAAAAGTACAATCAGTAAAGAAAGAAATCAGCGGCCAGGTATGGAGGTGCATGCCTTCTAGAGGCTAAGGCAGGAGAATTGCTGCAAGTTTGAGGCCAGCTTGGCCACATAGTGAGTACAAGGCTAGCCTGAACTGCAGAAAGAGGCCCCGTCTGAAACAGACAAACAAACCATACACACACACACACACACACACACACACACACACACACACACACACATATGCATATTTGTAATACCAGTACTCTGGAACACTGAGGCAAAGGAATCACAAAGTGGAATGTAGTCTGGGTAGCATAGTGATTTAGCAAGATCCTGTTTCAAAATAAAAAATAAAAGAAAGGCTGGAGTTGTAGCTCAGTACCAAGATCCTGGGTTCAATCCTCAATACTGCAAAAACAAACAAAAAAATACGTCCTTCAAAAAATAACTCATATAGCTCAGCAGCACAGCACCTGCCTGGCAAGCATGAGGTCCTGAATTGTGTTCCTGGTATAAAAAGAAAGAAAGAAAAGAAAGAAAGAAAGAAAGAAAGAAAGAAAGAAAGAAAGAAAAACAATCCTTGGGCTGGGGATTTAGCTCAGCAGCATAAGCGCCTGCCTTGCAAGCAGGCAGTCGTGAGTTTGATCCCCGGTACCAATAAAAAGGAAAAAGACAAAAACAAAAACAATCCTACCAGAGATGTTGGAGTACACCTATAATCCTAGCACTCAGGAGCCTGGGGCAGGAGGACACAATGAGTACAAGGGCAGCCTAAACTACAAAGCAAAAAAAACAAAACCAAAAACAGGCAATATTCCTTTTTTTGGTGGGGGAAATACAGTCTTGTTAATTTGCCCAGCCAAATTATTAATTTGCCCAGCCTGGACTTAAATTTGCAATTCTCTTACCCCCCCCCTCTATATATATGCAGCAATGTCCTTCATGAGTCCACATGACGACCTAGAACCCATGACAATGCCTCCCACAAGTCCAGCTGGAGGTCTAGAGCCCACAACAAGGATTCACGCAGGTCTCTTTTATGGATCTGTGCTGGAAAGGTCTAGAGGTCAGTGGTGGAAGCCAGGAAGTCTATGCCAGCGGGGTGAAGGAGCTGTGCTGGTAGGGTAAGTGTCTACACTGGAGCTGAGAAGTTATGCTCATAATAAAAACCAGGGCTGTCCTGAAAAACACCATGGCTCTCAGCAACATGGAGGTCCCGAGCTTCTCTGATGATAAGAACAGTGGAGTACATGCCAGAAAGCCAGCATGATGAGTTTGTCCTGGAGATAAAATGGTACATGTCTTCTCCTCTGGAGCCAGGAAGTGATGTTCGATGTAAGGACCAGAGCTCCCCCAGAGTGAACCACAGCCACTCTCACCAACATTGTCTGTAACTTCTCTGATGACAATGGTCAAATTCACTCTGGGGAAGCTAGTCATGATGTGCTCCTCCAGGAGAACCAACGACTCAAACAGCAACACATAGGAGAACCCACAATGCCTAGCTTCTCCTTCTCCACATCTCTATTTATGCTGGCAACTTTCCTTAGGGGGGACATCCATGCTCAGCACCACACTGATTTAATACAGCTGGTGTTAACCTGACCACCAGTTTTTAATCCATAACACTTATTATTACTGATCCTATTTTTCAGACCAGAAAATTGAGATTCAAAGAAGCTAAATAATCTGCCCAAAGACACACTGCTGTAACTCATAAAATGCGAAAATTGAACTCAGGTCTGTCCAAGTTCCAAAGCCTAGCCTTCCCCCTTTTCATATCATACCTAAGAAGAATCATAGGGTACTGACTATGAGAAACCCTAGAGCTGTCAATTTCTTGTCATTTGCACCTCTGAGCCTGAGTTTCTTCATTGTCAAAGGCTGACATCAGCCTCTTTTCCACCAGAGCAGTACAACAAAGGCTGGGGAGCGCTGTGTCCTGAGCTGCTGTGGTCACTCCCTGAATACTGCTCCTTTGACAGCTGCCACCGAGGCCCCACATAGCACAGTCTACACTCAGCCTCTGGCTGGCTCCCCTACCCCACTCCCACACAGACTCTGGCAGGCCTGAGTACAATTCAGGCAATTCTTGGACTCACAGAAATTTTGGGTCAGGAGGGGTCCTGTCCAGAATCTCTCTCTTGTGTCTCCACCTCTTTCCACTCCCTTTCTCTTTCTTCTCCTGGTTTCAGGCAATGCCTGTTTCCCTAGGTTTTTGGGTTCCTCCTGAGAACTGGAGAAATTGCTGACCTTGTTTCTCCTCAAGGGCTTGCAGAAACTTCCCTGTGATGTTTCCGTAATTCAGAGGATCCCCAGCCCTTTGCAGAAAACTGAGAAGCTCACTGTAGGATTGGGCATTTTACAAACATCTTAGTCTTCTCTCAAAGGCCCAACCTTAGATACAGATGTATTGATAGAGATTTACATTTCAGAATGACCCTAAGTTAACTTTCAACTATCACTCCTTAAAGATGATAGTAGCAATTAGTAGTAGTCACAGCTACCACTATGGATGATTGGCCTCTGGGTTTTCCCAACTTCGTCTTTTAGTTGGCCCTTTTATGACTTCTGTCATACGGGAGTTCAGGCTAGACTGTGTTAGCTTAGTACTGAAAAATTACCACCTTATCTTTTTACTCAGTGTTTTTAAAAAAGAAACTCTAAAACCACCCCCAAAAATCCAGGGTCAAGTATTATAATTAGAAATTAACTGTAAAAAGAAATACCTACCTACAACTTCTTTAAAAAGTTCATTTGTGCTTTACTTTAGGTGATCTTGTGTACCGAGAATCACAAGGCTACACACTTGAGGAAACACCTGATTTGAGGTTGTGATATAACAAGAAATCTATACTTGTTATTGTCCACATGTAGATGGTCCCTGAGTTCAACTTAAAATTTATCGATTTTTCAATAATATGAACGCTATACATATGTGTTCAGTAAAATGTATACTTTGAATTTTGATCTTAGCCAGGTGTAGTGGTACATGCCTATAATCCCAACACTCAGGAAGCTGAGGCAGGAGGATTGCCGTGAATTTGAGGCCACCCTGGGCTACACAGAGAGACCTTGTCTCAAAAAAAATTTTCTTTAAATCTTTTTTTGGGGTAGCAGTTTGCCATATCATACTCTCTCGTGATACTGGAGATCGTGAGAGGAATTCTGCAGTGTTCTGGTGGCTCTGGTGCTTGGGTAGTAAATGCTTTCTTTCTTTCTTTCTTTCTTTCTTTTTTTTGTGAGGCAAGATCTCACTATGCAGTGCAGGCTG